GGGCTTTCTCATGACTGTGTTTGTGTCCTCAACGTCTGATTCTGTTTCCAATCTCTCTATGTACCTCGCCATGATCCAAATCCAAGGCTTTCTCGCCATCGATGCCACCATCTTCGTCCAGAATGTCTACCACGGCCGCAAGAACGACCAGGACCAAGGCGCCCGCTCCACCCAGGGCTCGGACAGGTGAAGGTCAAGCCTCAGGACTGCACTGACCATGCCGCTGCCGGACAGCCTATCGATGAGACCGGTCAGAGGCTGGGGAAGACCAGGAAGATGCCGCTGGACAGGATGCTAGATTGCATATTCTTTGTATGTTTCACTTGTTTTGGCATTGGCAGCTTCCTGGCTCTTTATATATGTGACTGTTAGTCCGTGCACCGGAACAACAGCAACACATGGAGCTTCTCTGCATGATGACGTCACCTTATCACGATGTTTGCTATTAGATGTTAAGGTTGAAGAATGCTCGACAGAAAAGTATGTACATGTGTCTAAATCTATGTAGAGAGTAATAGCACGGAGTTAACAGGTATTGCGATGTAATTCGGTACACCTAGGAAATTATATTTAATTCTTTGTGGGGGTATCTTTTAACTGTGCATATAATTGATGTTATTTTTAATGTATATAGATAAACTGAAAGAGTAAATCTAAAACCCCAGCAGATATGTATTTAAAACAAGGATAAAGGGACGGCTCGGTTGTTATCTGACCAGAGATAGTCGCCTAGTCGCCTCAAATATGCTGCCATTTCTCTTATTCCTAGTCGTTTCAAATATACAGCTATATCACATTTTCCTAGTCGCCTCCAATATACTGCTATCTAAATTATTCCTATAGTCGCCTCAAATATACTGCTATCTCAGTTATTCCTATAGTCGCCTCAAATATACTGCTATCTCAATTATTCCTAGTCGCCTCAAATATACTGCCATTTCTCTTATTCCTAGTCGCCTCAAATATGCTGCCATTTCTCTTATTCCTAGTCGTTTCAAATATACAGCTATATCATATTTTCCTAGTCGCCTCCAATATACTGCTATCTCAATTATTCCTAGTCACCTCAAATATACTGCCATTTCTCTTATTCCTAGTCGCCTCAAATATACTGCCATTTCTCTTATTCCTAGTCGCCTCAAATATACTGCCATTTCTCTTATTCCTAGTCGCCTCAAATATGCTGCCATTTCTCTTATTCCTAGTCGCCTCAAATATACTGCCATTTCTCTTATTCCTAGTCGCCTCAAATATGCTGCTATCTCAATTATTCCTAGTCGTCTCAAATATACTGCCATTTCTCTTATTCCTAGTCGCCTCAAATATACTGCCATTTCTCTTATTCCTAGTCGCCTCAAATATGCTGCCATTTCTCTTATTCCTAGTCGCCTCAAATATACTGCCATTTCTCTTATTCCTAGTCGCCTCAAATATGCTACCATTTCTCTTATTCCTAGTCGCCTCAAATATACTGCCATTTCTCTTATTCCTAGTCGCCTCAAATATACTGCCATTTCTCTTATTCCTAGTCGCCTCAAATATACTGCCATTTCTCTTATTCCTAGTCGCCTCAAATATACTGCCATTTCTCTTATTCCTAGTCGCCTCAAATATGCTGCCATTTCTCTTATTCCTAGTCGCCTCAAATATACTGCCATTTCTCTTATTCCTAGTCGCCTCAAATATGCTGCCATTTCTCTTATTCCTAGTCGCCTCAAATATACTGCCATTTCTCTTATTCCTAGTCGCCTCAAATATACTGCCATTTCTCTTATTCCTAGTCGCCTCAAATATACTGCCATTTCTCTTATTCCTAGTCGCCTCAAATATGCTGCCATTTCTCTTATTCCTAGTCGCCTCAAATATACTGCCATTTCTCTTATTCCTAGTCGCCTCAAATATGCTGCCATTTCTCTTATTCCTAGTCGTTTCAAATATACAGCTATATCACATTTTCCTAGTCGCCTCCAATATACTGCTATCTCAGTTATTCCTATAGTCGCCTCAAATATACTGCTATCTCAGTTATTCCTATAGTCGCCTCAAATATACTGCTATCTCAGTTATTCCTATAGTCGCCTCAAATAAACTGCTATCTCAGTTATTCCTAGTCGCCTCAAATATACTGCTATCTCAGTTATTCCTAGTCGCCTCAAATATACTGTTATCTCAGTTATTCCTATAGTCGCCTCAAATATACTGCTATTTCAGTTATTCCTATAGTCGCCTCAAATATACTGCTATCTCAGTTATTCCTATAGTCGCCTCAAATATACTGCTATCTCAGTTATTCCTAGTCGCCTCCAATATACTGTTATCTCAGTTATTCCTATAGTCGCCTCAAATATACTGCTATCTTAGTTATTCCTAGTCGCCTCAAATAAACTGCTATCTCAGTTATTCCTATAGTCGCCTCAAATATACTGCTATCTCAGTTATTCCTATAGTCGCCTCAAATATACTGCTATCTCAGTTATTCCTAGTCGCCTCAAATATACTGCTATCTCAGTTATTCCAAGTCGCCTCAAATATACTGCTATCTCAATCATTCCTAGTCGCCTCAAATATACTGCTATCTCAGTTATTCCAAGTCGCCTCAAATATACTGCTATCTTAGGTATTCCAAGTCGCCTCAAATATACTGCTATCTCAATTATTCCTAGTCGCCTCAAATATACTGCTATCTCAGTTATTCCAAGTCGCCTCAAATATACTGTTATCTCAGTTATTCCTATAGTCGCCTCAAATATACTGTTATCTCAGTTATTCCTATAGTCGCCTCAAATATATTGCTATCTCAGTTATTCCTAGTCGCCTCAAATATACTGCTATCTCAGTTATTCCAAGTCGCCTCAAATATACTGTTATCTCAGTTATTCCAAGTCGCCTCAAATATACTGCTATCTCAGTTATTCCTATAGTCGCCTCAAATATACTGCTATCTCAGTTATTCCTAGTCGCCTCAAATATACTGCTATCTCAGTTATTCCAAGCCGCCTCAAATATACTGCTATCTCAGTTATTCCTAGTCGCCTCAAATATACTGCTATCTCAGTTATTCCAAGTCGCCTCAAATATACTGTTATCTCAGTTATTCCTATAGTCGCCTCAAATATACTGTTATCTCAGTTATTCCTATAGTCGCCTCAAATATACTGTTATCTCAGTTATTCCTAGTCGCCTCAAATATACTGCTATTTCAGTTATTCCTATAGTCGCCTCAAATATACTGCTATCTCAATCATTCCTAGTCGCCTCAAATATACTGCTATCTCAGTTAGTCCTAGTCGCCTCAAATATACTGCTATCTCAGTTATTCCTATAGTCGCCTCAAATATACTGCTATCTCAGTTATTCCTATAGTCGCCTCAAATATACTGCTATCTCAGTTATTCCAAGTCGCCTCAAATATACTGCTATCTCAGTTATTCCTAGTCGCCTCAAATATACTGCTATCTCAGTTATTCCAAGTCGCCTCAAATATACTGATATCTGAATTATAGCAAGTTGCGTCAATTATCCTGCTATCTCAGTTATTCCAGGGCCCACTTGCACAAAGCGATCTTAGCGCTAAGATGATCGTAACTCCCACACTTTAACATAGGCTTACAATAGTCGTAGTGCTAAGATTGCTTTGTGCAAGTGGGCCCTGGACGCCTGAATTATACTGCTGTTATACCTAATCGCTTGTTATTTGTTGGTCGTTTATAATGTTGGTCGTTGGGTTGTGCACAGTATCTTTATGTCGGTCTCATTAGGGTTTCTACTGTGTGCCGTGTGTGACCCCGAGACTCTGTACCTTGTGTGACCATCAGGATCCAGGTGTACCCACTTCGTGCAGTCCTGGTTAGCAGACAAAGTAGGGCCTGAACAACTGATGTGGACACTGATTACTTGACGGAATCAGGCGTGTCAGTTGTGTAGACATTTCTTTTTCTGAACTTTGATGATACGACAACTCAGAAGCTATGTGACGTCTTCCCCAGCTTCATGAAGATGTTCATGGACATTGTTGTCACACAGTGTCATCTTTTACAGACATTTGAATCTTTAGAGGATTACATTTGAATTAAACCACATTTCAAATTGGAATCCAAAATCAATTCATTCGCTCGAATACAATAGTTTTCCTAAACTTGGGCTTTCTACAGGTGGCGTGAAATGTGGCTTACTTTCGCGTTCAAGATTATTGCACTTATGTAGCGACGTACATGCACGTGTGTGTGTGTGTGTGTGTGTGTGTGTGTGTGTGTGTGTGTGTGTGTGTGTGTGTGTGTGTGTGTGTGTGTGTGTGTGTGTGTGTGTGTGTGTGTGTGTGTGCGTGCGTGCGTGTGTGTGTCTGCTTGTATTAGTTCGGGCTAATGCCGACTTTATAGTGCTAGCCCACTGAGATACCATGCCGCAGTTTAATGCCGAGCGTCAGGCAGGGTAACGACAAGGGTAACCACATAGTAATGTCAGTTGGTATGACGCGGCCGGGGATCGAACCCACGACCTTTCGCTCCCCGGGCAGACGCTTTATTCACTTGACCAAGAAGGCGGTAGAGCTTTCTTTAGAACACTAATTTAAATGATTTCGTGAAATGTCACAACTCGGACTTTTTCTGGCTCTGTTTTTGTGACGGTCAATCTCTATCAAGATAGACTAGTCACACACTGACGGACAGCATCAATACACACCAGTAAAAGCGACGATCACGCTCTAGGTATGACGCTGCATCTCACGACACCCCAGTAACTTGGGGTATACCGCCACTGTAATTCACTTATGTCATGGAGAGTCAGCGGAAGTGACGCAGGTGGAAGCCATTTACCACTTGGTGAACTTTCCACGACATTAGAAGTATTCAAGGCACAATTTAAGATACATGTATAACGCAACTCACAAAAACAATACACGATACTTAACTGTTGGGTACCTCTCTTTATGCTACTATAGAGAGGAATATCCCGTTGGATACCCTTCCATTTTGGAAGAAATAACAAATATAGAAATCCGCTAATTTCGTGAATTTTAATGTTCAGTGAAAAGACTCCCTATTTAAATGGGGTGAGAGCAATGTGTTTATGACTCAAGTGGCGGCAGACCGGTTCCTCGTGGGTAAGAGAAACCTTTCACCACGTGATCTATACGCACCCTCTTGCGGTCAAAAGGCTCAAGCGGAGCGTGTATTCTTCTGCCATATTCGGATGACGACTGCATGGGACATACCCGATTGGTTTCCTGAAACATAAGAAATAATTTAGACTGAAAACCTATTTAACTAAATAGCTTCAAAATGCGTTAAAATCTTCTTTTTTTAAAAATTTAAATAAAATGCTTTGGATGGGCAGAATGAATTGTGTTTATTTTGATAAGCACAAACTCAGCCAGATGGCATGATGATAACAAATTTGAAATAATATATCGGAATAAAGAACATAAAATGTGTCCAACCCGTTCGTATTTGGTGCACAAGGAGGAACGTCGCGAAATCCTTGTTTAGTCATAAAATACAACATAAAACTATGGCGATGACAATCTTTTAAACAATATGTTTTTTCAGCGGAATAACATCACCAGTCTAATCTCCTCTGTAATCTTATAGTAGAATCTGCTATAAGTATCAGGTCATCTGCAAGTATCTGAGCGGTAATGTTACACATACATCAGTCTGTAGCTGCGGTTACCACAGCCCCTCATCCGTTCATAGTCGTCATTATGTGTTCTATACATACATCAGTCTGTAGCTGCGGTTACCACAGCCCCTCATCCGTTCATAGTCGTCATTATGTGTTCTATACATACATCAGTCTGTAGCTGCGGTTACCACAGCCCCTCATCCGTTCATAGTCGTCATTATGTGTTCTATACATACATCAGTCTGTAGCTGCGGTTACCACAGCCCCTCATCCGTTCATAGTCGTCATTATGTGTTCTATACATACATCAGTCTGTAGCTGCGGTTACCACAGCCCCTCATCCGTTCATAGTCGTCATTATGTGTTCTATACATACATCAGTCTGTAGCTGCGGTTACCACAGCCCCTCATCCGTTCATAGTCGTCATTATGGGGACCCGTTAGAAAAGTCTGCCAATGTATGATTTAGGATTTATCTCAAAATATATACGCTTTATTCCCACGAAAAGTGAACTGTGAGTAAGATAAAAGATAAAACCAAAATCGGTTGAAAGAGGGTCGCCATCTTGGTTTCAGAAACATATCCCTGTTTTTGTAGCCAGCAGTAGCGACCTATTGGACAACTGAGAATAAAGGTAAATGGCTAGCCTGCAAATACGACCTTTACACCCACCTCTTCATGCACAGCCCTGCCTATCTCTAAGATGTGTCTTCTATCGTCTCGATGTAGCTTGCTGTCGAAGCCCTCCTTCTGGTGAAACAGCCTGTCGTAGATGTTGTCCTGAACGTCCGCCTGTAAAGAGACGACGGTGCTGTTGTACCCGGACATGCAAACAAGTTCCTGAACTGTCAGTCAGGAACATAATGCCATATGCCAATGAACATGATAACAGTCGCTTTATCCCACAGTATATTCGTAGTCACCGGTTGACAAAGAACATGATAACAGTCGCTTAATCCTGCAGTATATTCGAAGTCACCGGTTGACAAAGAACATGATAACTGTCGCTTTATCATACAGTATATTCGTAATCACAGGTTGACAAAGAACATGGTAACAGTCGCTTTATCATACAGTATATCAGTGGTCACAGGTTGACAAAGAACATGATAACAACCGCTTTATCATACAGTATATATGGTCACAGGTTGACAAAGAACATGATAACGGTCGCTTTATCATACATTATATCAGTGGTCACTGGTTGACAAAGAACATGATAACAACCGCTTTATCATACAGTATATCAGTGGTCACTGGTTGACAAAGAACATGATATCAACCGCTTTATCATACAGTATATCAGTGGTCACAGGTTGACAAAGAACATGATAACAACCGCTTTATCATACAGTATATCAGTGGTCACTGGTTGACAAAGAACATGATAACTGTCGCTTTATCATACAGTATCTTCGTAATCACAGATTGACAAAGAACATGATAACAGTCGCTTTATCATACAGTATATCAGTGGTCACTGGTTGACAAAGAACATGATAACTGTCGCTTTATCATACAGTATATCAGTGGTCACTTGTTGACAAAGAACATGATAACTGTCGCTTTATCATACAGTATATTCGTAATCACAGGTTGACAAAGAACATGATAACAGTCGCTTTATCATACAGTATATTCGTAATCACAGGTTGACAAAGAACATGATAACAGTCGCTTTATCATACAGTATATTCGTAATCACAGGGTGACAAAAGAACATGATAACTGTCGCTTTATCATACAGTATATTCGTTATCACAGGTTGACAAAGAACATGATAACAGTCGCTTTATCATACAGTATATCAGTGGTCACTTGTTGACAAAGAACATGATAACAGTCGCTTTATCATACAGTATATCAGTGGTCACTGGTTGACAAAGAACATGCCAACAGTCGCTTTATCATACAGTATATCAGTGGTCACTGGTTGACAAAGAACATGATAACAGTCGCTTTATCATACAGTATATCAGTGGTCACTGGTTGACAAAGAACATGATAACTGTCGCTTTATCATACAGTATATCAGTGGTCACTTGTTGACAAAGAACACGATAACTGTCGCTTTATCATACAGTATCTTCGTAATCACAGGGTGACAAAAGAACATGATAACTGTCGCTTTATCATACAGTATATCAGTGGTCACAGGTTGACAAAGAACATGATAACGGTCGCTTTATCATACAGTATATCAGTGGTCACTGGTTGACAAAGAACATGATATCAACCGCTTTATCATACAGTATATCAGTGGTCACTGGTTGACAAAGAACATGATAACAGTCGCTTTATCATACAGTATATCAGTGGTCACTGGTTGACAAAGAACATGATAACTGTCGCTTTATCATACAGTATATCAGTGGTCACTTGTTGACAAAGAACACGATAACTGTCGCTTTATCATACAGTATCTTCGTAATCACAGGGTGACAAAAGAACATGATAACTGTCGCTTTATCATACAGTATATCAGTGGTCACAGGTTGACAAAGAACATGATAACGGTCGCTTTATCATACAGTATATCAGTGGTCACTGGTTGACAAAGAACATGATATCAACCGCTTTATCATACAGTATATCAGTGGTCACTGGTTCACAAAGAACATGATAACAACCGCTTTATCATACAGTATATCAGTGGTCACTGGTTCACAAAGAACATGATAACAACCGCTTTATCATACAGTATATCAGTGGTCACTGGTTGACAAAGAACATGATAACGGTCGCTTTATCATACATTATATCAGTGGTCACAGGTTGACAAAGAACATGATAACAACCGCTTTATCATACAGTATATCAGTGGTCACTGGTTGACAAAGAACATGATAACAACCGCTTTATCATACAGTATATCAGTGGTCACAGGTTGACAAAGAACATGATAACAACCGCTTTATCATACAGTATATTCGTAATCACAGGTTGACAAAGAACATGATAACAGTCGCTTTATCATACAGTATATTCGTAATCACAGGGTGACAAAGAACATGATAACTGTCGCTTTATCATACAGTATATCAGTGGTCACAGGTTGACAAAGAACATGATATCTATCGCTTTAACAATACAATATATTCGTAGCTGTATATATATATATAGCTGTAGGACATACCAATCGCCATGGTGAGTGATTCATAGCGCCTAGCAGAGATCACGCCCACATCAGCTGTAGGACATACCAATCACAATTGTGAGTGATTCATAGCCCCTAGCCGAGATCACGTCCACATCAGCTGTAATACATACCAATCGCCATGGTGAGTTATTCATAGCCCCTAGCAGACATCACGTCCACATCAGCTGTAGGACATACCAATCGCCATGGTGAGTTATTCATAGCCCCTAGCAGACATCACGTCCACATCAGCTGTAGGACATACCAATCGCCATGGTGAGTGATTCATAGTCCCTAGCAGACATCACGTCCACATCAGCTGTAGGACATATCAATCGCCATGGTGAGTGATTCATAGCCCCTAGCAGACATCCCGTCCATATCAACGGAAGGACATACCAATCGCCATGGTGAGTGATTCATAGCCCTAGCAGAGATCACGCCCACATCTGCTGTAGGACATACCAATCGCCATGGTGAGTGATTCATAGCCCCTAGCTGACATCACGTCCACATCAGCTGTAGGACATACCAATCGCCATGGTGAGTGATTCATAGCCCCTAGCAGACATCACGTCCACATCAGCTGTAGGACATACCAATCGCCATGGTGAGTGATTCATAGCCCCTAGCAGACATCCCGTCCATATCAACGGAAGGACATACCAATCGCCATGGTGAGTGATTCATAGCCCTAGCAGAGATCACGCCCACATCTGCTGTAGGACATACCAATCGCCATGGTGAGTGATTCATAGCCCCTAGCTGACATCACGTCCACATCAGCTGTAGGACATACCAATCGCCATGGTGAGTGATTCATAGCCCCTAGCAGACATCACGTCCACATCAGCTGTAGGACATACCAATCGCCATGGTGAGTGATTCATAGTCCCTAGCAGACATCACGTCCACATCAGCTGTAGGACATACCAATCGCCATGGTGAGTGATTCATAGCCCCTAGCTGACATCACGTCCACATCAGCTGTAGGACATACCAATCGCCATGGTGAGTGATTCATAGCCCCTAGCAGACATCACGTCCACATCAGCTGTAGGACATACCAATCGCCATGGTGAGTGATTCATAGCCCCTAGCAGACATCCCGTCCATATCAACGGAAGGACATACCAATCGCCATGGTGAGTGATTCATAGCCCTAGCAGAGATCACGCCCACATCTGCTGTAGGACATACCAATCGCCATGGTGAGTGATTCATAGCCCCTAGCTGACATCACGTCCACATCAGCTGTAGGACATACCAATCGCCATGGTGAGTGATTCATAGCCCCTAGCAGACATCACGTCCACATCAGCTGTAGGACATACCAGTCGCCATGGTGAGTGATTCATAGCCCCTAGCTGACATCACGTCCACATCATCTGTAGGACATACCAATCGCCATGGTGAGTGATTCATAGCCCCTAGCTGACATCACGTCCACATCTGCTGTAGGACATACCAATCGCCATGGTGAGTGATTCATAGCCCCTAGCTGACATCACGTCCACATCAGCTGTAGGACATACCAATCGCCATGGTGAGTGATTCATAGCCCCTAGCTGACATCACGTCCACATCAGCTGTAGGACATACCAGTCGCCATGGTGAGTGATTCATAGCCCCTAGCTGACATCACGTCCACATCAGCTGTAGGACATACCAATCGCCATGGTGAGTGATTCATAGCCCCTAGCAGACATCACGTCCACATCAGCTGTAGGACATACCAATCGCCATGGTGAGTGATTCATAGCCCCTAGCTGACATCACGTCCACATCAGCTGTAGGACATACCAATCGCCATGGTGAGTGATTCATAGCCCCTAGCAGACATCACGTCCACATCAGCTGTAGGACATACCAATCGCCATGGTGAGTGATTCATAGCCCCTAGCTGACATCACGTCCACATCAGCTGTAGGACATATCAATCGCCATGGTGAGTGATTCATAGCCCCTAGCTGACATCACGTCCAAATCAGCTGTAGGACATACCAATCGCCATGGTGAGTGATTCATAGCCCCTAGCAGACATCACGTCCACATCTGCTGTAGGACATACCAATCGCCATGGTGAGTGATTCATAGCCCCTAGCAGACATCACGTCCACATCTGCTGTAGGACATACCAATCGCCATGGTGAGTGATTCATAGCCCCTAGCAGACATCACGTCCACATCTGCTGTAGGACATACCAATCGCCATGGTGAGTGATTAATAGCCCCTAGCAGACATCACGTCCACATCTGCTGTAGGACATACCAATCGCCATGGTGAGTGATTCATAGCCCCTAGCAGACATCACGTCCACATCTGCTGTAGGACATACCAATCGCCATGGTGAGTGATTCATAGCCCCTAGCAGACATCACGTCCACATCTGCTGTAGGACATACCAATCGCCATGGTGAGTGGTTCCTCCCTGGTGTTTCTTTGCCCACCCAAATCTTTGCTGCCCAATCTTCGTGTGTTACGGACACACCCAGCACATGACGTCTCGCTTCCAGGCGGGCTGCCAGGAGCCGGGTGTTGAAGGTCGATGTTGAAATTCGCTTCTCTGTTATTATATGGAATTCACTATTGATAATAGGAATCTATTGCGTTGTGCAATTAGTGTTATGAGACGAGCTTGTCTTGGTATCGTGTTTAAGCCTACCACGCCACAGGTCTCATTGCAAGCCCACACGTTTGACGGAACTTTTTCCACAGTCGAGAAATTACACTTTTTGATTTTGATTGACGTCCCCTGATTGTTCAATGAGATGTCTCGAAGGCATTTTAAGCGTGCAACACGTGCTGTTCATGCATGATGTGAAATTTCAACGTGATAAGATGTTGCGGTCAGGTGCAACGCCAGGGTACTGTAAATGAACACCTCAACGAGTACTACATTCAAATCATTTGTTCCGTTATTACTTGTAGGTGGTATAGATATCATGTCATGAAAGTGTGGCGTACCATGGTTCGGCGTGTCCGCGGGCCGTAGCAGCTGGTCCGAAGTTTGTCCAACGTGTCCCGGCTGTACAGGGTTTCACCGGAGAAGTACTCCGTCCCGTCTCCCTTGATGGACAGGTGCTGGCGCCTGATGTATTGATATCTCTGGGGAAACATGACACCAACTTGTATCTCTGGGAGAAACATGACACCAACTTGTATCTCTGGGGAAACATGACCCCAGCTTTTATCTCAGGGGGAAACATGACACCAACTTGTATCTCTGGGGGAAACGTGACACTAACTTGTATCTCTGGGGGAAACGTGACACTAACTTGTATCTCAGGGGGAAACGTGACACTAACTTGTATCTCAGGGGGAAGCGTGATACTAACTTGTATCTCAGGGGGAAGCGTGACACCAACTTGTATCTCTGGGGGAAACATGACACTAACTTGTATCTCTGGGGAAACGTGACACTAATTTGTATCTCAGGGGGAAACGTGACACTAACTTGTATCTCAGGGGGAAGCGTGACACTAACTTGTATCTCTGGGGAAACGTGACACTAACTTGTATCTCTGGGGAAACGTGACTCTAACTTGTATCTCTGGGGAAACGTGACACTAACTTGTATCTCAGGGGGAAACGTGACACTAACTTGTATCTCAGGGGGAAACATGACACCAACTTGTATCTCAGGGGGAAACGTGACACTAACTTGTATCTCAGGGGGAAACGTGACACTAACTTGTATCTCAGGGGGAAACATGACACCAACTTGTATCTCAGGGGGAAACATGACACCAACTTGTATCTCTGGGGAAACATGACCCCAGCTTTTATCTCAGGGGGAAACATGACACCAACTTGTATCTCAGGGGGAAACATGACACCAACTTGTATCTCAGGGGGAAACATGACACCAACTTGTATCTCTGGGGAAACGTGACACTAACTTGTATCTCTGGGGAAACGTGACACTAACTTGTATCTCTGGGGAAACGTGACTCTAACTTGTATCTCTGGGGAAACGTGACACTAACTTGTATCTCAGGGGGAAACGTGACACTAACTTGTATCTCAGGGGGAAACATGACACCAACTTGTATCTCAGGGGGAAACGTGACACTAACTTGTATCTCAGGGGGAAACGTGACACTAACTTGTATCTCAGGGGGAAACATGACACCAACTTGTATCTCAGGGGGAAACATGACACCAACTTGTATCTCTGGGGAAACATGACCCCAGCTTTTATCTCAGGGGGAAACATGACACCAACTTGTATCTCAGGGGGAAACATGACACCAACTTGTATCTCAGGGGGAAACATGACACCAACTTGTATCTCTGGGGAAACGTGACACTAACTTGTATCTCAGGGGGAAACGTGACACTAACTTGTATCTCTGGGGGAAACGTGACACTAACTTGTATCTCTGGGGGAAACGTGACACTAACTTGTATCTCAGGGTGAAACGTGACACTAACTTGTATCTTTGGGGAAACGTGACACTAACTTGTATCTCAGGGGGAAACGTGACACTAACTAGTATCTCAGGGGGAAACGTGACACTAACTTGTATCTCAGGGGGAAACGTGACACTAACTTGTATCTCAGGGGGAAACGTGACACTAACTTGTATCTCTGGGGAAACGTGATTCTAACTTGTATCTCAGGGGGAAACGTGACACTAACTTGTATCTCTGGGGAAACGTGACACTAACTTGTATCTCTGGGGAAACGTGACACTAACTTGTATCTCTAGGGAAACGTGACCCCAACTTGTATCTCTGGGGGAAACGTGACTCTAACTTGTATCTTAGGGTGAAACATGACACTAACTTGTATCTCTGGGGAAACGTGATTCTAACTTGTATCTCTAGGGAAACGTGACACTAACTTGTATCTCTGGGGGAAACGTGACACTAACTTGTATCTCAGGGGGAAACGTGACACTAACTTGTATCTCTGGGTGAAACGTGACACTAACTTGTATCTCTGGGGAAACGTGATACTAACTTGTATCTAAGGGGGAAACGTGACACTAACTTGTATCTCAGGTGGAAACGTGACACTAACTTGTATCTCAGGGGGAAACGTGACACTAACTTGTATCTCAGGGGGAAACGTGACACTAACTTGTATCTCAGGGGGAAGCGTGACACTAACTTGTATCTCTGGGGAAACGTGACACTAACTTGTATCTCAAGGGGAAACGTGACACTAACTTGTATCTCTGGGGGAAACGTGACACTAACTTGTATCTCAGGGGGAAACGTGACACTAACTTGTATCTCAGGGGGAAACGTGACACTAACTTGTATCTCAGGGGGAAACGTGACACTAACTTGTATCTCTGGGGAAACGTGACTCTAACTTGTATCTCTGGGGAAACGTGACACTAACTTGTATCTCAGGGGGAAACGTGACACTAACTTGTATCTCAGGGGGAAACATGACACCAACTTGTATCTCAGGGGGAAACATGACACCAACTTGTATCTCTGGGGAAACATGACCCCAGCTTTTATCTCAGGGGGAAACATGACACCAACTTGTATCTCTGGCGGAAACATGACACCAACTTGTATCTCAGGGGGAAACATGACACCAACTTGTATCTCTGGGGAAACGTGACACTAACTTGTATCTCTGGGGGAAACGTGACTCTAACTTGTATCTCAGGGGGAAGCGTGACACCAACTTGTATCTCTGGGGGAAACATGACACTAACTTGTATCTCAGGGTGAAACATGACACCAACTTGTATCTCTGGGGAAACGTGACACTAACTTGTATCTCTAGGGAAACGTGACACCAACTTGTATCTCTGGAGGAAACGTGACACTAACTTGTATCTCAGGGGGAAACGTGACACTAACTTGTATCTCAGGGGGAAGCGTGACACTAACTTGTATCTCTGGGGAAACGTGACACTAACTTGTATCTCAGGGGGAAACGTGACACTAACTTGTATCTCTAGGGAAACGTGACACTAACTTGTATCTCAGGGGGAAACATGACACTAACTTGTATCTCAGGGGGAAACATGACACTAACTTGTATCTCTGGGGAAACATGACCCCAGCTTTTATCTCAGGGGGAAACATGACACCAACTTGAATCTCTGGGGGAAACATGACACCAACTTGTATCTCAGGGGGAAACATGACACCAACTTGTATCTCTGGGGAAACGTGACACTAACTTGTATCACAGGGGGAAACGTGACACCAACTTGTATCTCTGGGGGAAACGTGACACTAACTTGTATCTCAGGGGGAAACGTGACACTAACTTGTATCTCAGGGGGAAGCGTGACACTAACTTGTATCTCTGGGGAAACGTGACACTTACTTGTATCTCAGGGGGAAACGTGACACTAACTTGTATCTCTAGGGAAACGTGACACTAACTTGTATCTCAGGGGGAAACATGACACCAACTTGTATCTCTGGGGAAACGTGACACTAACTTGTATCTCTAGGGAAACGTGACTCTAACTTGTATCTCTGGGGAAACGTGACTCTAACTTGTATCTTAGGGTGAAACATGACACTAACTTGTATCTCTGGGGAAACGTGACACTAACTTGTATCTCTAGGGAAACGTGACACTAACATGTATCTCTGGGGGAAACGTGACACTAACTTGTATCTTTGGGGAAACGTGACACTAACTTGTATCTCAGGGGGAAACGTGACACTAACTAGTATCTCAGGGGGAAACGTGACACTAACTTGTATCTCAGGGGGAAACGTGACACTAACTTGTATCTCAGGGGGAAACGTGACACTAACTTGTATCTCTGGGGAAACGTGACTCTAACTTGTATCTCAGGGTGAAACGTGACACTAACTTGTATCTCTGGGGAAACGTGACACTAACTTGTGTCTCTGGGGAAACGTGACACTAACTTGTATCTCTAGGGAAACGTGACCCCAACTTGTATCTCTGGGGGAAACGTGACACTAACTTGTATCTTAGGGTGAAACATGACACTAACTTGTATCTCTGGGGAAACGTGACACTAACTTGTATCTCTAGGGAAACGTGACACTAACTTGTATCTCTGGGGGAAACGTGACACTAACTTGTATCTCAGGGGGAAACATGACACTAACTTGTATCTCTGGGTGAAACGTGACACTAACTTGTATCTCTGGGGAAACGTGATACTAACTTGTATCTCAGGGGGAAACGTGACACCAACTTGTATCTCAGGGGGAAACGTGACACTAACTTGTATCTCAGGGGGAAACGTGACACTAACTTGTATCTCAGGGGGAAACGTGACACTAACTTGTATCTCAAGGGGAAACGTGACACTAACTTGTATCTCAGGGGGAAACGTGACACTAACTTGTATCTCTGGGGAAACGTGACACTAACTTGTATCTCAGGGGGAAACGTGACACTAACTTGTATCTCTGGGGAAACGTGACTCTAACTTGTATCTCTGGGGAAACGTGACACTAACTTGTATCTCAGGGGGAAACGTGACACTAACTTGTATCTCAGGGGGAAACATGACACCAACTTGTATCTCAGGGGGAAACATGACACCAACTTGTATCTCTGGGGAAACATGACCCCAGCTTTTATCTCAGAGGGAAACATGACACCAACTTGTATCTCTGGCGGAAACATGACACCAACTTGTATCTCAGGGGGAAACATGACACCAACTTGTATCTCTGGGGAAACGTGACACTAACTTGTATCTCTGGGGGAAACGTGACTCTAACTTGTATCTCAGGGGGAAGCGTGACACCAACTTGTATCTCTGGGGGAAACATGACACTAACTTGTATCTCAGGGTGAAACATGACACCAACTTGTATCTCTGGGGAAACGTGACACTAACTTGTATCTCTAGGGAAACGTGACACCAACTTGTATCTCTGGAGGAAACGTGACACTAACTTGTATCTCAGGGGGAAACGTGACACTAACTTGTATCTCAGGGGGAAGCGTGACACTAACTTGTATCTCTGGGGAAACGTGACACTAACTTGTATCCCAGGGGGAAACGTGACACTAACTTGTATCTCTAGGGAAACGTGACACTAACTTGTATCTCAGGGGGAAACATGACACCAACTTGTATCTCAGGGGGAAACATGACACTAACTTGTATCTCTGGGGAAACATGACCCCAGCTTTTATCTCAGGGGGAAACATGACACCAACTTGAATCTCTGGGGGAAACATGACACCAACTTGTATCTCAGGGGGAAACGTGACACCAACTTGTATCTCTGGGGGAAACGTGACACTAACTTGTATCTCAGGGGGAAACGTGACACTAACTTGTATCTCAGGGGGAAGCGTGACACTAACTTGTATCTCTGGGGAAACGTGACACTAACTTGTATCTCAGGGGGAAACGTGACACTAACTTGTATCTCAGGGGGAAACGTGACACTAACTTGTATCTCAGGGGGAAACATGACACCAACTTGTATCTCTGGGGAAACGTGACACTAACTTGTATCTCTAGGGAAACGTGACACCAACTTGTATCTCTGGGGGAAACGTGACACTAACTTGTATCTCAGGGGGAAACGTGACACTAACTTGTATCTCAGGGGGAAGCGTGACACTAACTTGTATCTCTGGGGAAACGTGACACTAACTTGTATCTCAGGGGGAAACGTGACACTAACTTGTATCTCTAGGGAAACGTGACACTAACTTGTATCTCAGGGGGAAACATGACACCAACTTGTATCTCAGGGGGAAACATGACACCAACTTGTATCTCTGGGGAAACATGACCCCAGCTTTTATCTCATGGGGAAACATGACACCAACTTGTATCTCTGGGGGAAACATGACACCAACTTGTATCTCAGGGGGAAACATGACACCAACTTGTATCTCTGGGGAAACGTGACACTAACTTGTATCTCTAGGGAAACGTGAGACCAACTTGTATCTCAGGGGGAAACGTGACACTAACTTGTATCTCAGGGTGAAACGTGACACTAACTTGTATCTCAGGGGGAAACGTGACACCAACTTGTATCTCTGGGGTGAAACGTGACACTAACTTGTAACTCTGGGGAAACGTGACACTAACTTGTATCTCAGGGGGAAACGTGACACTAACTTGTATCTCAGGGGGAAACGTGACACTAATTTGTATCTCAGGGGGAAACGTGACACTAACTTGTATCTCAGGGGGAAGCGTGACACTAACTTGTATCTCTGGGGAAACGTGACACTAACTTGTATCTCAAGGGGAAACGTGACACTAACTTGTATCTCAGGGGGAAACGTGACACTAACTTGTATCTCAGGGGGAAACATGACACCAACTTGTATCTCAGGGGGAAACATGACACCAACTTGTATCTCTGGGGAAACATGACCTCAGCTTTTATCTCAGGGGGAAACATGACGCCAACTTGTATCTCTGGCGGAAACATGACACCAACTTGTATCTCAGGGGGAAACATGACACCAACTTGTATCTCTGGGGAAACGTGACACTAACTTGTATCTCTGGGGGTAACGTGACTCTAACTTGTATCTCAGGGGGAAACATGACACTAACTTGTATCTCTGGGGGAAACATGACCCCAGCTTTTATCTCAGGGGGAAACATGACACCAACTTGTATCTCTGGGGGAAACAGGACACCAACTTGTATCTCAGGGGGAAACATGACATCAACTTGTATCTCTGGGGAAACGTGACACTAACTTGTATCTGTAGGGAAACGTGACACTAACTTGTATCTCTGGGGGAAACATGACACTAACTTGTATCTCAGGGGGAAACGTGACACTAACTTGTATCTCAGGGTGAAACGTGACACTAACTTGTATCTCTAGGGAAACGTGACACCAACTTGTATCTCTGGGGGAAACGTGACACTAACTTGTATCTCAGGGGGAAACGTGACACTAACTTGTATCTCAGGGTGAAACGTGACACTAACTTGTATCTCTGGGGAAACGTGACACTAACTTGTATCTCAGGGGGAAACGTGACACTAACTTGTATCTCTGGGGGAAACGTGACACTAACTTGTATCTCAGGGGGAAACGTGACACTAACTTGTATCTCAGGGGGAAACGTGACACTAACTTGTATCTCTGGGGAAACGTGACTCTAACTTGTATCTCAGGGGGAAGCGTGACACCAACTTGTATCTCATGGGGAAACATGACACCAACTTGTATCTCTGGGGAAACGTGACACTAACTTGTATCTCTAGGGAAACGTGACACCAACTTGTATCTCTGGGGGAAACATGACACTAACTTGTATCTCTGGGGAAACGTGACACTAACTTGTATCTCTAGGGAAACGTGACACTAACTTGTATCTCAGGGGGAAACGTGACACTAACTTGTATCTCAGGCGGAAACGTGACACTAACTTGTATCTCTGGGGGAAACGTGACACTAACTTGTATCTCAGGGGGAAACGTGACACTAACTTGTATCTCAGGGGGAAACGTGACACTAACTTGTATCTCAGGGGGAAACGTGACACTAACTTGTATCTCTGGGGAAACGTGACTCTAACTTGTATCTCTGGGGAAACGTGACTCTAACTTGTATCTTAGGGTGAAACATGACACTAACTTGTATCTCTGGGGAAACGTGACACTAACTTGTATCTCTAGGGAAACGTGACACTAACTTGTATCTCAGGGGGAAACGTGACACTAACTTGTATCTCAGGGTGAAACGTGACACTAACTTGTATCTTTGGGGAAACGTGACACTAACTTGTATCTCAGGGGGAAACGTGACACCTACTAGTATCTCAGGGGGAAACGTGACACTAACTTGTATCTCAGGGGGAAACGTGACACTAACTTGTATCTCAGGGGGAAACGTGACACTAACTTGTATCTCTGGGGAAACGTGACTCTAACTTGTATCTCAGGGTGAAACGTGACACTAACTTGTATCTCTGGGGAAACGTGACACTAACTTGTATCTCAGGGGGAAACGTGACACTAACTTGTATCTCAGGGGGAAGCGTGACACTAACTTGTATCTCTGGGGAAACGTGACACTAACTTGTATCTCTGGGGAAACGTGACACTAACTTGTATCTCAGGGTGAAACGTGACACTAACTTGTATCTCTGGGGAAACGTGACGTGACTTGTATCTCAGGGGGAAACGTGACACTAACTTGTATCTCTGGGGAAACGTGACGTGACTTGTATATAACCTCCATTACTGTAGATGGAATACGGCCATGATCAGTAACTTGTATTATATTACATATTGTTGTTTGTTTTTCAAAATCCCAAGGACAATGTATGACACGGTTACCTGTCGACCAACAAGACCTGCATAGCCGACTTGGGGGGTTTTCAGGAAGCGTTATACATATATTCATATCCTATGATTTTCTTGGTGGTACAGAAAGTACAAGCACTTGGTGGACAATTCATCATGGGTGAGGGACTTATTTTATCTTTACATTTAGAAAGCGGCCCTTTTCTCATTTTCTAATTTAACATAATCGGAAGTTTAGCCATAGTTCTGGACTTGGTCATATCAGAAGTGCATAACATGCAAATAATTGAAACAGGCCATGTATTTTCCCGTAACTATGTTTAACATTTCCAGAAGACCAAAAATGTCCCTGGTACTTTAGAACAAGGAAAACATTTCTTTCAACTGTTGGGATATATATTGCACATATTAATATGACTGTTTACTAAGCACTTGCAGGTTTGGACTGCCTGCGTAAAGTATAGTAGTAGTGTGTGGACAAAACGGGCAAGTGTCTAGGTTTGCATAGTTTAAATTTCATAATGTGAGAAAATGTCACACTGAGAGTTTGGATATTGGAAAAGACAGTGGCGACTTTTGGTGGAACTCTGGTGTGCAGCTATGGAATAGCGCACATACATGACATTTACTGGTGGTCCAAAAGATGCTTCTGAGTATATCCCAGTATTAATCACGACGTATCACTGCAAACAAAACACATTATAATACAGTATATGTATACAGTACATACGCTGAGGACATTTTTCCACAATCCAGCCTTGGCCCCTGGACTAAGGTAAGACTTGCCGTACATGGACATACGGTTCCCGTCACCTGGGCTGCCCGACATGGCTGCTGTCGAGATAGTGGCAACTAAATGGCGCTACACGGCGCAAACAAACGATGACGTCAGGCTTTTGTGACGTCATAGACAATCATCTCACTCAGATATGAATGCCTCACAGAAATATGATTGGCAGGTATTTTGAATTTTCAGAAAAAATACAAGGCTTAACAAATATCAAACTTGTTGGCAAAAAGTTTAGAACATGTGAAAAAGGATCGACGCCGTCCATGTTTGTCCTCAACACTTACACGTTGTGCGTTTATAATAAGGTTCGAGACTGGATTAATTAATGTGTGAATTTAACATAATCGGAAGTTTTTCCCTCCAGATATTTCGGATTTTGGGAGGGTTACAGCAAAGACAAGAGATGGAATTCCATTTTCGTTTCTTAAAGTGAGTTTGAAAATCCAATTGCGGATCACTTGAATATTTATATATTTTACATTTGGTACCGTCTCGTGGTCCAAAACCTTTAATTCCTATTCCTAATACAGCCGATACAATGGGGAGATGTTTTTAACCAGTCGCTCCTTTCTTAATATGTTTACCCGCACTGTGACCATCAACGTTATGTCAAATGCGTAGGATAATTCAATTTGCAAAATGTAGTCCATCAAACAAACCACGGATTCCAGAAGCTAAGAATTATTTTCAACGTGAACACAACATAAATTTCTCCCACCGACAAATACGCTGCCCTATACCAGTCATTTTACGTGTGCTTCGCTGTGCTCAGCGTCGACCTTTGAGCAAGTGACACGAGCCGTCCGTCAGTAGTATAGAACGGGTCCGCAGGAACCTTTTTTGGTTGAGGGAGGTTGAGTGAAAATAGGGAAGATGATTGGCTGATCCAAGTCACGTGATCGGATAGGATGACTCATGCATCAACAGCGCGTCGGGAAAGGGCGGGGAATGAAAGGTGTGTGTTTATAAGACAGAAAAGGATTCGTAAGTAAACAAAAGTAAAGGGTATTCAATAGAGCTATGCGTTTGGCGTGTTGCCCTGAATAGACAAGCAGCCCAGTTTGAATTGAGCGCGCTTGACAACTCACGTGACCACGTCGTTTCAAATTGTTTATTGGTCGTAATGGTTTCGTTAATTTCAGGCGTTAGTAGAAATTACAATTAGTGTACAACTCACGTAGTCGTTTCAAATTGACCGCTGGTTTGATGAATGCAGGGTGTGTGTTGAAAGTACGACCATACCACCATAGAGACGGGTTGTGTCAACATGATATACGCCGGGTAATGTAAGGGAAAAAAAATGTACGTCTAGCTGGATCAAATTCATCTTGTACGGTCTACACGTTGTACACCATGAACGTTAGACAACCTGTATAGAAAAGAAATATAGACAAAATAGATAAGACTACGCAATCAGCAAGCTAGCAGTTTACGTTTAGCGCGCAAGAACGAGCTAATGTATAGCAGAGAGACTAAGCGACCGGCCGCCCATAACAATGTCAACATACACTACCCCGGCCTTACAATTAATGTTAACATAACAGCCTCGCCTGAAGCTTCCCATTCATAAATTGTGTGACCAGTGTCCCGTATGTATGATACGTTAGGGAACATGTGTTGTACATTTGTTATTTTAAAAGGGAGTTATTTCAGAGAGGATATATATGGGTATTCCCCCTCATTAAACCTTTCTTTCGTTGGTGTCTATTAAACGTATCCGGTATTTAATACATTTGAATGATGTAGGAAAGTATGTGCGTGAAGATGTTGTACCTATATCCGAACACGAATGTATGACACCTTTCAATAGATCAATTACGATTCTAACCACGACACGCAACATGACTATGAGCGTGGTTAGCAGTTCACATTTATAAACACATCGTAAATGACAGATTTCTGATGAATGAACTCGCCCGCACACATGTCTATAGGGTTATGTTCGCCCGAACTGTAAACAGTGTCACATTGATAACAGGAAGGGTGTGTGGAATGCACTCGTCCTTGTAAGGGTAAAATACGCGTTTAAACTCACCATTTAAATGATGACATTACTTTTTTAGATGTATTGGTATCAGTGAGTGAGTGAATTTAGTTTTACGCCACACTCGGCATTATTCCAGCTCTAGGACGGTGGTCTGTCAATAAACGAGCTTGGACCAGACAATCAAGTGATCAACAGCATGAGCAGCGATCTGTGCAACTAGGAACCGATGGCACGTGTCATCCGAGTCGGCGAGACTGACCAATGGATCCCCGTCGTCAGTCGCCGATAAGCATGGGTTACTGAAGGTCCATTCTATAACCCGGGACCTTCACGGGTGTAGTATGACGAAGACTATATACTAATATGCAAAAAAAACTTAGAAAAAACAAAGAATTCATTCGTATCATTTATTGATTCGAGTCAATCGGTTCCATACAAAGCCGTGATATACGAATGGACAATAGTATTCACTCTGGAACATTATTTAGTCACTCATATACACATGCTGCTGCTGCTCGAAGGCCCTATTGTTTAAACAGCGAGTCCATGTTTTGAAACACATTTCGCACTGTTGAATGTTTCCTTGTCTACGCTGTTTTAAGGTTGAATGGTTGTCTATAGTCTATGCTTTATCCATTGCTTGTAACGATTTCCGTCCAGGAGGTCCCAGTTTCACAATTCCTCTCACGTAGAGGGAAATTCGGCGTTTCTTATCGTTCAAACGCCTCAGTTTACGAGGTGTTTTCAAAATATGAATCAAACTAGACGCGTGGCGTTGACTCGGCATTCTCTTTTGACTGTTAGACTGATATAGTAGTGATGGGTATTTATGCCTAATCGTTCTGCTCACGATCATCATCCTCCTCCTCGTCATCACCGTCGTTATCCTCTGCAACGCTATCAGATTCAGTCTCACTTTCTATTTCCGGCATATCCATCAAAGGCAGGATCTCTTTCATCTTGGGTTTTAGGAGGAGTTTGATTTTATTTTTGAGAACGGATTGTTCCGTGGAAGGATTCATGTCTCCCAGGTTGTATAGCATGTTTTGAAACAGAGGTGCCTCTTTAAAGTACGTGGTATATTCCATCGCATAGTTGAGAGTACTACGCACTAGATCCTCCCACCTCAGTTTCAATCTTCTCTCAATCCATTCTTGCGTTCGTCCCTGTCGCTTGTACTGTTTTTTCTGCAGTTTCATCTTGTCATGAAACGTATCGTACACCTGCTTCCAGATGCGTTGTAAGCCTACATTTTGCCACTCCTCGGCTTCCATATTAGTGAATGTTGACTTCCCACGTGGAGGTTTGACGGCAAGACCACTGCCTTTCTGGGAAGAGGCTAGGTCGTCAAAGTCACTGTCATCGTCATCACTCTCGAGTCTGGCACGCTTTCTCTTAGGTTGAAGGCTATTAGCCGGACACCAGTGTTTGATATGTCGCTGTAGATCGTGCATGTTATCTATCAGCACCCCGCAATCTGCGCAAGCCATGGCCATAGTCAATGATGTCTCACTACTTGTGTCTGAATCGGTTTCAGTTGGAGTGAGCTGATGTTGGGGCAATCTCTCTTCTTGTGACAGAGGACTATCAAGAGATTCTGTTGTAGTCAACTTCTCCCTACGCAGATCAGGTTCAGACTGTGCTGTTGTTCTCCTGTTTTCCTCATTTATGAGGTAAACATGCAGTCGATCCTTATCTTTGGTGGTAGGTTTTAGATCGATGGTGAGTTGTCCATAGGGTGTTTCAGCAACCTTTTCATACATAGCCATAAAGTGATCCATATGTTCGGGGAAAATTCTACGAGCGAAGAGTTTGATTTGCTGTTTATCTATGGGGGAATGAATCAGGGTGACATAATGCGCGTTCAAAGCAATGTCTCTCAATTCCTTACCTCTCGGAAACAGATTTTGTATCAAGAGAAAGATCAATACATTCTTGTGATGTGAGGTTTGAGTAAACAGCCGCGAAATACGCTTGTCGTGCTTTGCTTCGGCCAGGAAATCATCCAGGACCAACACGTTCTGTTGACAAGCATCAAAGTAATCCTCGTCCAAGATATCGTAGGGAATTCCTTTGACAAAGGTCAGCTGAGGCAGCTGCTCACCGAGGTCCTGATATAATGGCTGCCATTGAGTATAACACCAAACGATGCGGGTAGGTTGGGGTTGGATCAGGCCATGCCGGAGTACATGAGAGGTAAACACAGACTTTCCACAACCACTGGGTCCCACAACGAGCGCATTTGAGGGAATCAGGAACTTGAATTGTTCTCAAAGATCAGATATACATGGTAAATGAGGCAGCCACGAGTGGACTTGCGATGGCGGCGGCGGCAGCGGATGTGCTTGTAACGGCGGGTTGGCTTGACGCAGCGGCGGCGGCGGCGTTAGCGGGTGGGCTTGTAATGGCGAATGGACTTGCGGTGGCAGGTGGGCTTGTAACGGTGGCGGTATGCTTTGTTTATTTCTCCTGTGTCATAACATGACATCTCTCCTTGAAAACATTTTTTCACAGTCCGGACAGGTGGCAACCCCCATGGTGATCCAATACGGTGTGCGATTAGAGGGTATGAAGCTTTCTTTTATACCCTTGACTCTGTTGACGCTTCAAGGCAGCAAGTGCCCGTTCCACCACAGCCTTCACCTCCGACACATGTTGTATTTTCACGGGTTGGGGTGTTGTCTTCGATCCCTGTTTGGTTGTCATCGTTTTCATTTTAGGTGTCACCTGTCTCTTCTTTGTCTTCAGCGTCGACTTCTTGGCTGCTGTGGTTTCTTTCTCTGTTGTGATTTTCTCAACGTAGTCTTCCTAAATATTTCTCTAGGGTCAAGACTAATCTCTGATGCTTTCTTCATGTTGTTCACGTCCAATCCGTTTGCTGGCGAGAGTAAAACTGTTTGTTGGGCTACACTACTGTAGAGTTTATACTGTCTTACACGAGCAGGGGTTCTTGGAAGACACTCTTTTCTTCACAGCACACTTGTTAGTATGTTAAAAAAGTGATCATATTAGTATATAGTCTTCGTCATACTACACCCGTGAAGGTCCCGGGTTATAGAATGGACCTTCAGTAACCCATGCTTATCGGCGACTGACGACGGGGATCCATTGGTCAGTCTCGCCGACTCGGATGACACGTGCCATCGGTTCCTAGTTGCACAGATCGCTGCTCATGCTGTTGATCACTTGATTGTCTGGTCCAAGCTCGTTTATTGACAGACCACCGTCCTAGAGCTGGAATAATGCCGAGTGTGGCGTAAAACTAAATTCACTCACTCACTGATACCAATACATCTAAAAAAGTAATGTCATCATTTAAATGGTGAGTTTAAACGCGTATTTTACCCTTACAAGGACGAGTGCATTCCACACACCCTTCCTGTTATCAATGTGACACTGTTTACAGTTCGGGCGAACATAACCCTATAGACATGTGTGCGGGCGAGTTCATTCATCAGAAATCTGTCATTTACGATGTGTTTATAAATGTGAACTGCTAACCACGCTCATAGTCATGTTGCGTGTCGTGGTTAGAATCGTAATTGATCTATTGAAAGGTGTCATACATTCGTGTTCGGATATAGGTACAACATCTTCACGCACATACTTTCCTACATCATTCAAATGTATTAAATACCGGATACGTTTAATAGACACCAACGAAAGAAAGGTTTAATGAGGGGGAATACCCATATATATCCTCTCTGAAATAACTCCCTTTTAAAATAACAAATGTACAACACATGTTCCCTAACGTATCATACATACGGGACACTGGTCACACAATTTATGAATGGGAAGCTTCAGGCGAGGCTGTTATGTTAACATTAATTGTAAGGCCGGGGTAGTGTATGTTGACATTGTTATGGGCGGCCGGTCGCTTAGTCTCTCTGCTATACATTAGCTCGTTCTTGCGCGCTAAACGTAAACTGCTAGCTTGCTGATTGCGTAGTCTTATCTATTTTGTCTATATTTCTTTTCTATACAGGTTGTCTAACGTTCATGGTGTACAACGTGTAGACCGTACAAGATGAATTTGATCCAGCTAGACGTACATTTTTTTTCCCTTACATTACCCGGCGTATATCATGTTGACACAACCCGTCTCTATGGTGGTATGGTCGTACTTTCAACACACACCCTGCATTCATCAAACCAGCGGTCAATTTGAAACGACTACGTGAGTTGTACACTAATTGTAATTTCTACTAACGCCTGAAATTAACGAAACCATTACGACCAATAAACAATTTGAAACGACGTGGTCACGTGAGTTGTCAAGCGCGCTCAATTCAAACTGGGCTGCTTGTCTATTCAGGGCAACACGCCAAACGCATAGCTCTATTGAATACCCTTTACTTTTGTTTACTTACGAATCCTTTTCTGTCTTATAAACACACACCTTTCATTCCCCGCCCTTTCCCGACGCGCTGTTGATGCATGAGTCATCCTATCCGATCACGTGACTTGGATCAGCCAATCATCTTCCCTATTTTCACTCAACCTCCCTCAACCAAAAAAGGTTCCTGCGGACCCGTTCTATACTACTTCCGTCTCATCGCCATTATTTTACAGATTGCATAACAAAACACGGCCGTTTCGATAACCTATACAATTTAGTAGGAGCTTGATGGTGAATGTCTTCATACGGATATTACTTTTGTCAGACTGCGGATTGTCTCAGTGTGTGTCTGATATTGCCATACGAAGTGAAATAATGTTGTCTTCGTGAACTGTCAGACATGCCTTCCGAAACGTGTCCTCAAGTGTTTGGGCCAAGCAAACCATAGTCGACATTTAGAACAACTATCGACGCCAGCTGTGTGCAGACACACACAATGAGCAAACTTCCACATTGCAAGTATTAGATCCCCAATTCAGTGTGCCTCAAAAGCAGAGTGTGGTAACCAGTACGGTCAAGGAAGCATGTTTGAGCGGGAATGTGTTACTGCTGCTGGTGTCTCTAATACCCCGTTCACATGCGCCTCTAAACATATGTGTGTATATAGAGGTTATCACGCGAGTGTGTTTGGGGATGGTAAATATCCTGCATTAGGAATAAACATTGTATTTAGCGAGCCTTGGCGAGCTAAATACATAGTGTTTATTCCTAATACAGGATATTTATCATCCCCAAACACACAAGCGTGATAACCTCTTTATCATATAATGTCATTCTTTAATTCTGTGCTTCAAAATCGCTTTCCCTCTCTCACAAACATTACCGAAACATTGCGAGTTTTCGTGGAATGCGCGCATTGATATTTATTACGTCACAGGGTAAGTGATGTGTCAGTCGGACAGTGACAGAAACCAATATAGTTCCAACTAAAATCTGTTTCTTATACAGTGGCGAAGCAACATATACGCAAAACAACAATTGTTTTTAATTGCCTTTCGCAGCAATCCATCGGTCTGTCCGCTAGAGTAACTGCCCTTTGTCAAAGGGAAGCTACTCTAACCCTAGTCAATGAGACGTCACGGCCACGGTCAGACGTTGTTGACAGTCGGTCGGTCCTGTCATAACGTTAAGAAGTGTAGTCAGATGTACACACAGCGACAAAACGAAACAAGGTAACAATTCAAACATATTTCGGCCAAATCCAACTATTTTAATTTGTGGAGAAGGTTTCAAGCTGCAGATATGGTTACTGATCCCGCTTGGCTAGGCCTCGTGCCCTCGCAAAATTGTTACGAAATTTATAAGTTTATATGACTGTTCTTTTGATAATGATAGCAATTATCCCTGTAGTTTATCCATATTCCCGATGGTTAATTCTGACTCGATCGCCGAATGACAAGGGCGACGCCATGTTTGTTTATAAACAGTAAAAGTAGTCCCTACTTGACCTTTGATATTTGCATCTTTATCCGCATATGACCCCAACGGATATCGTTTTTATCCGTTGGCTTTATCCTGCCGAGAAACCTACCCATTATATGATAAATATGCCTACGTGTGTAGAAATACATACGTGAGTATACTTGTCATGTGAACGCGTTTACTCATGTGTGTATATTTACACCAGGAGCAAATTTGCATCATGTCTTGAGCAGGTGCAAATGTAAATGTAAATTTGCACCGTGTGTACATGTTGCAATGTGAAGTCTATGTCAACGTAAGAGGATTGTCTAATGTAATATCTGTTCTTTTGTCAACACCAAATTGTCAACAGTTGCCAACCTTTACACGTATATGATGTTTTCTTTTGGTTTCAAGGAGCCAAAAGTTTGTGTACAAATTATACAGGTTGCTTCACACGAAAATTTTCAGTTAAGTAACTCTCTTCTTATTCAACTTTGATTGGAAAACAACCTGTTTTGTGTGGAAAGTCGCAAACAGACTGACGAATATGTGTGCCTTACACAATTTACATACTTTATTTACACACCTAAGATGCTTTTCATGTGAACGCATAGTAAATTTACATATACACACGTATGTATAGTTACACATGTGCAAAATTACTAACGTTAGTAAATGTGCATGTGAACGGGGTATAAGTGTAAGTTATCTATCTTGTTTGTCTTCAGATAAATCATCTTTCTTACTTTCTTTCTTCAACAGACATAATGTATCATATTTGCTTTATTCCTTGATGTCAAGTTGCAATTTACATACATGTTTTTCAGTTGTCTTTATTCGGCATTTGTAAGAATTTGTACATTTGCTACATGATGGCCCCACTGTAATTACTTAAACCTCTTCTCCAAACCAACCACACATTGTCATTACATTAAAGTGGTTGCCTCCATTTGCTTATTCTTTTACCAGTTTTCGGGGTCGGTTGGGTAGTCTAGTTGTAAAAGCATTAGCCTGTCACGCCAAAGCCCTGGGTTCAATTCCCCACATGGGTACAATGTGTGAAGCCCATTTCTGGAGTCTCGACATATGGCTGAGATAGTGGTAAAAGCGGTGTAAAACCATACCCATACTCACTCTACCACTTTCCAGAATGAATGAGGATGGTTTTATGCCATTTTACAATGTATCCATGTGGGAAATCAAACCCAGGCCTGACCTACGAACACCTTAACCTCTAGGCTACCCAACAGCTCCCAGTTTCCAGACATGTTCATGTTAATAATTCTTTACAAAATGTGTTCCATACGTTCCATGTGTTTGAGATGTGTTTCACTATAGACTGGGCAGTTCTACATCCTTCTCCTCAAATGTGTCAAGTAGTAGCAGGAGTATGACCTCCACAGGGTCTACCTACAATGGCAAAATGATTGTGACACAGGGAGCTCAGTGATACTGGTAGCCCTGTAGTGCCAGGCTGGGAACATGTACCTTGCAAGTCTTTCTCAAGAACTTGTCTAGGTGTACAAGGACTGTCCAATCTGGGTTCCATGAAGGGAGAGAATGTTGTTTTCTGCAAGCAGAACCCCAGCCAGTGATTTGCTGCATAAGCTATCCACACTGAATATTTTCATGTAATCCAGTCACAACACTAAACACTTCTTTACCATCTCACAGCTTTATTATTGACAATATACAAGTTTACTTCTTTGCAGCTTTTCTGGCTGCTTTCCTCAACTTGCCAAACTCAGCCTTAATCACACGATTTCTCTGAAGGAAGAAAAAACAACAATGCAGTGCTTATACACAATGAAAGTGAACTTCAAAATTCATATGTTTGCAAAACAACATAAGACCCATTGTGGCATACTGTTTCTAAAATTCATATTCTTTCCTTTAATGAACATAATTGTATACATTATCTTGTTAATAAATATGACTAACATTTTCCTATCTCTAATTCATTTCCAGCAAAGAAACAATATTAGAAACTTTGATCAAGAGACAAAAGATATTTGTTATTATGTTAAAACATTCAGAAAAATCACTTACAGCTTGTTTGGCCTTCATCAGCTTGAATCGGTCAAAGTCAGACAACTTGGACTTCTGTCAAGGAAGAATAAATCATAGTAAGAGCAGGAACACAAATGTTAGGACAGTATTCATATTGGACGTTTATCATCAAAGGTGAGAAGTTGTAGAGGTTCACCTGCAACGTCCCTCTCTGCCATCAAATAGGTTTGCTCCATACACATGAGAAGCCCCAGAACACCCCATTTGTATTCCTGTGTTCTCCAAGCAACAGTTTTGGGTAATTATTGGTAAAGGTGGTTCATAACCAATGGCAGCAGATGAGAAATCACCCACCCTTCTTCATTTGGTCCCATCATTGATTTGGTTGGTTGGTTTGTTGTTTAACGCCGCACTCAGCAATATTCCAGCTATATGAAGGCGGTCTGTAAATAATCGAGTCTGGACCAGACAATCCAGTGATTGACATCATGAGCATCGACCTACGCAATTGGGACCGATGACATGCATCAACCAAGTCAGCAAGCCTGACCACCCGATCCCGTTAGTCGCCTTTTACGACAAGCATGGGTTGCTGAAGACCTATTCTACCCCGAATCTTCACTGGTCTTGACATCCTGTGTTTGCTTTTGCGGGTCAACAACACTGACAGTCAGGGACGAATCAGATTGGGTGTGATGTTGTGCAGGCATTTGTGATGTGATCACACTTTCTCAGATTTGGCCATCATCATGATCATGAGTTACGTTCTCTTGTTTTGCGTGTTTCTGAGCCCATGGCAAGGAGATATCAGATGGTGTTTGTGGTGTGCATGTATTTGTGTGAAGAGAAAGGAGTAGCTCATGGGGAGTTACCTTCTCCTGTTTGGCGAGTTTCTGTGCCCATGTGGTTTCACTCCACTTCTTGTCAATACCCTCCTTCTTCCATGCCTTGACGACTGTGCCAGTGCGGGCAGAGTTGCCCAGCTTTAGCTTGAGGGGGGTGAGCTGGAGAGCTTTGAAGTTGATGCTGTTGCGGGTCACGTTGGAGCAGGGTCCGTCAATAAGAGCCTGTTGACATGGAACACAGTCAGAGGCAAATGCCCTTGCAAGTGCACAAGAATGCATCAATATTTGGGTACATGCATTTCTCAATTATCAGCTTTAGTCATGAAATATCTGCAAGGATATTTACTTTCTCTAAAATTGTCTCGAGAAGATAGTCTGTCTGACATCCTTAAACCAAACAGGTCTTCCAGAAAAGTGAACAGCAGGCCAATATTGAATCTAAGCCTTCATCTTGATGTGCCCAGTCTACAGTCAAGGTCACATAAGAAGTGCGCACAAATTTATCAATGAGAAATAATATGAAGTATTTTCTCATATTTAGGCACTGCAAAATTTTGTCTGGGAAAATTAAAAACCTTGATCATCCATGTCTCAGATTAGAATTGTCAGCAATACAATTCTGACGGCAATTCCTATCATACAAGGCTCATCATTAACATGGATGATTCACTACTACTGTCGCACCACCCTTACCCTGTTCTGATCCAGCACATCAACAATGACAGCCAGTTTTCCTTTGTCATCGCCAAAGGCGATATAGGCTACACGACCAACTTCCACAAATCGTTTGAAAGGCTGAAATACAAGAAAAAGGTCCAGATAGTTGTCTTAATGTTAATAGTTCCATCTCTGATAAATCTGAAGGGAAAATCAGGGATTTTAAAACATTCTGAACTCTATGATACCACCAAAAGACTGCAGGGGTTCTATTAGAAGCCATCTGGTACTGGACCTCTCACCAAAAACATATACACGTCCAAAATGGAATTATCTCCTAAAACAATAGTTTTGTCAAAATAGAATACTGTCGTAGAATACTGAGACCAAAACGAACATCCGACTTCTCTGTATGCAAGTAATGAAATTAACATTTTTAAATCAATTAATCAATACCACATGATTCAGATTAGAAATTGTCAGCAATGCAAATTCTGACGGCAATTCCTATCATACAAGGCTCATCATTTCATGTGGACAAACAGATTGGACAAAATATCATTTTGAAAGAACTGTTTGGAAAAGCAACAAAAGTTTGGCTTGTAGTATTATGAGTATTTAAAAAAAAGAAGTGTAAGTTTGTGTGAAAAAGAGTTATGTGAAGAGTACCATGCCAATGACGCTTGTATTCACTTCGACAATTTTGTTAGGCCTATACAAAAACATGTACACGTCCAAATTGGAATTTGTCTGGTACCACTCATTATTTCCTCAAACAATAGTTTTGTCAAAATCCTATCCTTAGAATACTGAGGCCAAAACGTACATCTGACTTCTCTGTATGCAAGTAATAAAATTAACATTCAGACTCTTTTGATCATGTTTGTACACATTTAAAAAGGTAAATGGCAACTCAAGTATCGATACATATCATTTATGGGATGGAGGCTTCAAAACATTATTTGAATGTCAACATTTTGGGTAATTGTGATAACTGTACCCAGTCAAAACAGCTCTTTACTTCCGTGTTGGTTTATTGATGTGTACCCAGTGGTAGAAACTAACCGTTTTAGTCCACTAGTCCTTATATTTTTATAATGATAACATATAGCAAACACCTTTAAAATAGCAAATTTCTACTAGTCCTTATGATACCTTAACTATTGGGCAGTTTAGCAAGGACTATGGGACTAGTGCCAATTTCTAACGCTGGTACCTCAATCACTTCATTACAGTGCAAATTTGACTGTTAGACCAAATCCAAATTCTTTTTGTAACACTCAGGGAAAGAAATATGGTCTGGGATCTGTTTAACCTGCACTGTAGCCAGCTACTGAACACCTTGTTCATTATCTTATGTTACCAATACTTCCTTCCACTAATTCAAGAAAAACAACAAATATTATTTCCTTCACTTCTAGTGACACAATACTGGTAATTTGCCTTGAGCGAACAAAGGGTTAGCCAAGACAAAATACCCATCCCAGTTCATACATTCAAACTGTTGTTTTGCCCTGAGCAACTTGTGTGTCCACTGCAGCTGGAAGTTGATAGTTATGTTGGTTTTTTCCTAACATGTAAGTATGATCCTATAATGCTGACCCATTCAGCCTTTATGCAAAGTCATATTGATTATCTGACATTTATTGGCTTTAAAAGAAGCATACTTATTATCAACTAATGGTCTAGTCTGTTGATGTTGAAGCTTCCTGATAGTAGTGTTAAATACTTAATGTAAAAGTAACAACCAGGGTAGCATAAAATAGAGCATCTTGACTGACACGCAAAAGGGGGGAACATTACATACCAACACTAAACATGTAGTAACTATGCCTGCAAACCATGTGTTTCAGATTAGAAATTGTCAGCAATGCAATTCTGACGGCAATTCCTATCATACAAGGCTCATCATGAACATGTAGGTCTGTACAGGCAGTAAGAATCTACCTCATCATTTAGTACTATTTCTTCCTGTCATAAATGCAAACAGAGCCCCGAACAATCAGCAATAACCAACATGTTAATACTGTTTGTACAAATCGTTTGGATAGTGCAAAGAAATAATGAGTGAAGTCAGTAAATGTTTCATGCTTAAGTCAGCAATATTCCAGCTGCACCACAGCAGCCAACAAACAATCATGTCTGGAACAAACAAGCAAGAGGCTGATATTACAAGCACCTTTCTACCATCAGGTAGTGACAACATACAATCAACAAAGCCACCAAATCTGACAACTATCCATTTTAGTTGCCACTTATGACAATCATTGGTCTCTGGAGGCCTATTTTAACTTCAATTCAAACTGAATGAGTGAGTGAGTTTGGTTTTAAGCCACTTTTAGCAATAATCCAGCAATATCATGGCTGGGGACACTAGAAATGGGCTTCCCACATTGTATCCATGTCGGGAATCGAACCGGGGTCTTCAGTGTGACAAGCGAACTCTGTAACCACTAGGCTACCTAACCGACCCGTGAGTGCCAAGAAACATGAAATGTCTAGATTATCCGGCCTTTCGACCATCTTAGGTGACACCAATAGCCACTAGGGCTGGGACAATACACAAACTTAGATGATGGAGTTATGGATCTTTTTAAATTCTTCAATCAATACCACATGATTCAGATTAGAAATTGTCAGCAATGCAATTCTGACGGCAATTCCTATCATACAAGGCTCATCATTTCATGTGAACAGATTGGACAAAACATCAAGTTTAAAGAACTATTTGGAAATGCAACAAAAGTTTGGCTTGTAGTATTATGAGTATTAAAAAGAAGAAGTGTAATTTTATGTGAAAAAGAGTTATGTTAAGAGTACCATGCCATGATGCTGGTATTCACTTCCGACATTTTTGTTAAGCCTATACATACGTGAAGCATGGGTACACATGCAATAAAGCTCAAAATAACCAGGAAAAAAAAAATCTGCTTGCGTTTGTATTGTTAAATATGAGTAAACCTCAAAAATGAATATCAATCCAATAGGGCTGGGACAAGTCCAAATTTACTCCCCGGGTACCCACCCCACTATTACCCGACCCTACCCAGGTACCAGGTACTCGCTGTAGGTCTCAAGAGGTTGGTACAAACTATCTGATTGGGAAAAGTTTGACCATAGCCTGTAAAATGTGTTAAGATACACTTATAAAACGATCAGGTGTATACACTGAAGTTTTATTCTTATTCAAACATATAAAAGTGAGAAGGAAAGGGCGTAGTAGTCAGGAAGAACTGTGAACATTAGTGACTTGTAGTCTAAACATAGAGTTTTAGTTCCCAGTTCCCGGGTCCCAACCAGGACCCACCCGACCCGAGTTACCTGTCCCAGCCCTACAATCCAAACATCTGAAAATAGAAGTGGCATGTCGCAACCTCTTCAGCTACATACATTGGGGCCACATTTCAAACAAATATGTTGTATTTTGAATAACTTTGGTAATTATAGATAATAAATCACTTACGAAAGCTTATTTAATTCAACTTGTGCGGGGCCAAGCTGACAAAAACATGGCGATGGAAACACTGCATTCATGCTGAAACATGTGGTCAAAACTCCACACATTCATAAAATTGATCATGTGACAATATTAACTGTTTTGCAGATAGGCAATGTGGTGTTTCAAGTTCCTAAGAAATATTGGTGTACATGCAGTTAGCTCCCTTCATGTGATTCAGTCTCTGACACATTAAGGTTTATCATCCACTAACATTGAGAGTCAAATGCTTTAGGGGAATGTGACCACACAAATAGGAACCAAGTGAATCTCCTAAACTGTAGTGAACAGATTTACATATGTTTGTTTTATCAATACCACATGATTCAGATTGGAAATTTGTCAGCAATGCAATTCTGACGGCAATTCCTATCATACAAGGCTCATCATTTCATGTGGAGAAGCTGACTGGATAGAGCTGTAATGCAACAAACGATGGGTTTCTATGATACTATCACGATTGACATCTTCAAATTTAACCATTAAAATGTAATTATAGTGATTTTACAGAAGACAAATGGCAATAGGACATTTTCATGATCTTATTAACTACTGATGCATCATTTCCAAATTTAAAAAATATTTTTTGACATTTTGGATGACATTATCCATCTATCCATGCCCTAGACAAAGAACTAACTTGAAACCCTGATCTGTGTACACTGTTAAAACCCCCTGCCATCTTAATTGGAGTTCTTGGTTCTTGATTGGAGTGTTGTTTACTCCGCACTCAGCAATATTCCAGCTAAATGACGGCGGTTTGTAAATAATCGAGTCTGGACCATACAATCCAGTCTTTAATATCATGAGCACCGATCCACACGCACATCGGATCGATGACATGCATCAACCAGTATACTAAAAGCCTAAGTCATAACAACATACAACATTATTTTAGAAAGATATTAAAGTAAACAGATATAAACAACATATCATTAACATTGAGCATAGTGCAAAGATTCTGGTATGGTGGCATTGGTGTTCATGATCTACGTTAGACAAAACCAATGAATCTGATAATTATCACCTGAAAACGCCTCCTAATTAAAGAGGACCACTACTAGGCAAACAATTTAAACAGATAGTATTATAACTTTTTTTAAGAACTTTTTCATCAACCTAGATGTCTAATACAAAGAAATTATGGTATAATGGAATACATGCAGCAAGAATAGACTTTAGATTGCAAATTACTATGATTATTCTCAGTGTAGAGAACTATTAATGTTGTTTTTTAATGGATAAATCAGTAAAATCCAAGTCCTTTTAAGGTTGTTTTTTTCTGTATGAAGTCTGTGTGGCTGGCCCCTGAATCCTATTTGATCAAAGATGTGGACAATATATAACATCCTTGTGAGTAATCGATGATACTATACTCTCTCTTTCCTTGATGAAAGAAATTATGATAGTGTAAGCGAGGGACTTGTGAAACTGCAATTGGTTAACATAAAAAAGCCATCACAATTGAGTAATTTATTCACAAATTGGTATCCTGTCTTGTGTATAACCTACAACCCACATGTTTCAGATTAGAAATTGTCAGCAATACAATTCTGACGGCAATTCCTATCATACAAGGCTCATCATTACATGTGAATATGCAGGTCATGACAAGATGGTAGCTTACTGTATGCTCCACATCATGCAAAATAATCACAGTGCACTGATCTTGCTTGCCATAATCAATGACATCCAATCACTATTTACATCCCTTAATAGTAATATTACAATCTTCTCTTAAGACCATCCATGAGCCTTCCAAACAAACGCTGAATTGGTATTGTCAGATATTGTCCTTCTTCCCATACCGGTATGTACAAAGACCATTTGAAACAGACATTGGAGTATCTTTGATCACACAAGCTATTTCGTAACTATACCCAGGCCCCACGATGCTTTGATTCCTGTGCACAATCACAACCACATTTAATGAAGTTTTACATGTAACCGGAAATAGCATGTTAACAAAGCTGTACAGAAGTATGCAGTTAGTCCTGTTATATTACAGTATCTGATCATAAGAAATGTTCATCGCATATTACAACTTATGTTTGTAATCAACTTTATTAAGTTCATTCCAAATTTCATTCAATATTGTATACATTAATTTTGGCAAAATCGTGTGTGAAGTGATCCACAAAATTGCACAAAGTTGCAAACGATCAGATTGGACGTTGCAATTGACGACTTGAAGTGAACTTAGCCTAGTAGGCAAAGACTTAAGTATCCCTTTTACCCAGACAACCCATAAAACTACAAAATAATTAAAGAGATGCACTAAATTAGATCCTTTACAGTTAATGCAATAACTGAAAGGCAACTGTTAGGAATGTGAATTGCCTTGGATAACCCAAGTATGCATGCATTAACATATAGGCCTAACACGATATATGTAGGATTATATAGATTTACCAGGCGTGTTTGTTTTCGCTCGTGTGGAACTTCGGGTGTTATCCAGTAGAACACACAGTATTATTCTTAATTGTTTTAATGCTATGGTTCAGGTTAAAGGTACAGTGTACAAAGACGATGATAATATACTCAGGGGAGATAACCCGAGACACATGGTTCTTGAGAATGTTTTCAGATTGATTCGAATCAGTCTTCCTTCTACGATAATGGGAAAAACAAACCTTCCCATACAAACTATAAACAGTTAATTCACAACTAAAATCATGATTCTTTAAAATAAATGGCGTTAGATACAGTTTATCAGTTGTATTAGCAGACTGCTCCAGCCACATGTCCCTTACCATGATGGTGGCCGGGGGAAAGGACGATCACGTGACTTCCACTTCCGACATCGAGAACATTTATTTTCACCACACAATCCATTCCCCGAAGACTTTCGGAGGAAACGATTTCGAAACAAAATAAGGTTATCTCTTATGTAACACAAAAAGAAAACGCGATGGCGTAAACTTAACCTTTACTTGTGCGGGTCAAGGTCACTTAGACAAGCACTTCTGCGAATGTACGACGAACAGTCAGAATAAGTTGGCAACAAAATGTGGACCCGGCAATTCTCTCAAAAACTATTTGCGCTTGTTCGATCAAGCACATCACCTTACTCGTGCAGGAATGCACATGCACAGGTGACACTGTCTTTGAGTACCGTAGTCTCTTGTTTAAATTGTTATATCTACATTCATTGGATCACTTCATCACTGCATGCGTAATGTTATCTGACTTATCAGTGTTAGATCCCAAGAACGTAGTTAAAAATTGAATGCTTGGTTAACTGTGATCTATAAAGATAACGACAAAGGGCGCATTTTAATTTATTTCTTTAGCCTAAACAAACAGACAAAAAGAACGGCGGAGCTCATCGGATGTCCTCATTTGGAAATACCCCAGATGGTTATAGTTTAATACTAAAAAAAGTATCTATGCAGTGAAAGCATTTTCGGATTTCGGATTGCGTCGATAATACGATTACTAATCCCTTGTTGTCATCCACGTTTTCTCGTATAACCCTACACTTGTGTATTTGTCGTCGTTCACTTGATGCTCAGTTAATGAATTTATTACAGGTACAATTATTGGTAGCACCACTTAGATTACCTGACAAAGTTTCCCATTTGGCATTTATTGTGTCTGGGGTAATTATTCAATCTAAATCCAGGTTTGAAGTGAGGTGAAATGTGTGTTATGTAATATGCATGTGGCAGACCAGCAAGAGGTGAATGATCAGTTGATTTACTTTTTTTTGTAAATCAACAGATTGTTCTTAGTCATCAAAGGATTAACAGAAAATACGTTGATTGATTAATCACCAGGGATGTGAAATCTCCGCGGAAACGCGGAAAATCGCGTTTTTTAAAACAGTAGTCCCTGGAAAAAATCATCTTCCCCGTAAAAATTAAATAAATTATCACTGTTATCTTGCACAGTGGATATGTCAAAAGTGAGTGTTTACATGTCTAGGTTTACTAAAACAAAGGGAATACACTCATATCATGGCGTGAAGTGCCGATGATAAAACAACATACATTGTTCAAAGGGTTAACTGATAATACGTTGATTGATTGCTCATTGTTATCTATCACTCAATGGATTTTTTAGGAACCATGGACGTTATGAAAATAGTTGTCACGTGGGCTTTCTCAGCCGACCCTTGAGACTTGACACCTATGTGAAACACCTGAAACAATCAAAGTGATCAGTTGAGAAACGAACACGGGTTATAATATCTCGAAACGATATATATCTTTTAAAATATTTGATTGTTACAGAGACACGTGACATCAAATAAGTTTCTTTGTACAGCTGCAGACGAGTGGGATATTGTTCCTTTGTGTGGATATTCATGGATACATTCCTCGAACAAGGAAGCTCCTAAAATTTATACACATAAATTTGGTAGGTTGCAATTATGGTATTTGCATTTTGTTTTCCTTCATTTGAACCGATTCGGTCTTGTTTCTCTACGTCTTGGTTGGGTGAGGTGAGGTGAGGTGAAATTGGGTTAAACGTCGCGTCCAAGATTATTGCACTTATATAGCGACGTGCATGCACGTGTGTGTCTGTTGCTGCTTGTACTAGTCCGGACTGATGCCGATGTATAGTGCTAGCTCACTGAGATACCATTCCGCAGTTTAACATGAATACCCCACTCAGACACAGTATACTGACTCCGAGCCGACAAGTCCTTGTTTTAGCCCCTTAATGTCGAGCGCCAGACAGGGTAACAACAAGTACCATCTTTTAATGTCTTTTGGTATGACTCAGCTGGGGATCGAAACCCGGACCTTCCGCTCTCTCCGGGCGGACGCTCTACCACAAGACCACGTAGGCGGCACGTCTTGGTTGGGAAATTCTTCAATGCACGATAGACGTTGTTTTCACAGGTCTTTTCCTTTGTAAGCGTGTAAATATTACCATCAATTTGTAAAATGTGATTCTCTCAGGCAATTTATAAAATGTGTAAATATTTCAGTCATTTTGACAGATTGATTAAGATGATCAAAAGGGCCTACAAACATCACAACAGATTATTATGTAGGATTAGAAGCCAAACAACATAGACATGTACTTTTCAACGTAACATTTTCAGTCTCTTGGTGATGACATTAAACATCAAAATGTTTGGAATTCGTTATCATAATAATACAGATGGAAATGTTTTTCAGTCACTTTGTAAAATAACTCAATATTTAGACTTTAAATTAATTTTAAAATGTTACACATTTTGACAGTAAAAAAATATACACACTATAAAAAAAGCAATGCTCAGGTGAAATATTTACTTTGTGTTGCAAGTCAAAATAGTGTAAACGAAAATCGCAAATTACCAAGCAATTGACTTATCAAAACTTCGTCAACATTACCGATGCTACCCACAAAGATACCTACATTTCCTCATTATCTCGAAAACTGTATTTCATTTTGTTGATCAATGTGACCATACGCCCTTATTACTACCCATAAAAGTGACTGATGCGCTTACGAATTGCGCAGCAGAGGTCGCGAACTAGTCTAGATTTCTGCTATACATCCGGGTACTCATTTGGAAAAAACAATAACAAAGGCAACAATCAGTCCCGTGGAATTGCGTTAGATCAGTGCCCCTTTAATGCTGCACTCAGCAATATTACAGCTATATGACGGCAGTCTGTAAATAATCGAGTCTGGACCAGACAATCCAGTGATTGACATCATGAGCATCGATCCACGCAATTGGGATCGATGACATGCATCAACCAAGTCAGTGAGCCTGACCACCCGACCCCGTTAGTCGCCTTTTACGACAAGCATAGTTGCCTTTTACGGCAAGCATGGGTTGCTGAAGACCTATTCTTCCCCGGAATCTTCACGGGTCTAAACCTGAAAGGATATGTGATATATCAGTACCCCACAAAACAACACTAGGCTCTACCTATTTAAAGCGTCGGGAACTCCAGACCAAATGACGTTTGATGATGTTGACTCCTTCACACACCTGGACTGTCTGAATGTCAGACTAGCTACATGCAACATACCATTTGTCTCCCCAAAACACATAGCCCCTTGAGTACAGCTGGCATAATATATGCCCCAAAATAAAAGTTATAGCATATAAATGAGAATCCCCAAAATGATTACATGTTAATGATAGGCAAAATAAAATACATGCAACTAAGTGCAACTAAGTATATGTATTAGGATGTATAAACAGCACTAGATGGCCAACACAATAAGGTATCAGACCTGACTGGGAAGTGCTATGTACATTATCATAAGAATATGGTACGGGTATGGTAGTCATTATTTCTGAAATGGCACCATCAGTAATTTACATGAAATAGGTTTGTTTTTGTGCTCATGTGATAAAAAAGATTGAAATGTCACTAACCAGTGATGTACACATGATCATGACGAAGTGTTAGTGTTTCTATACCTTTTTGATCATGAACACACTGAAAATTATACTTGATTATAATCTTTACTAAATCATTTATCAATTCGGGTACACTATTAAATCATGAAAATGTATTTATAATGCTAAACTGCATGAACATTGGCTGACATGTTTATCTATCTTGTGATCCTTGTACATATACTGTTACTGCTATTTCTGTTACTCTTACAAAAATAACAACATTGCTTACATTGTTGAATGTGTGACACGACCTTTGATCTTGATATTGTGAATAATTAAAATAACAATTAACAATTGGTGACTAGCGTTTTATTACTAACATCCCGTTTGCATCGTCAGTATTGTAACAAAGGTGACAAAAGTTACTTTCGCTTTAAGCATTCCCTATGGGTATTGATGGTATTCTTTGGTTTTTGATATGCTTTTACTCCCTTTTGTCCAGGGTATGAGATATATTTAAACCAGTGAGTTGACCTTGCAAAGATTATTCCGATTTAAAAGTCCCTTTCAGGTGAACCCTCTTTTGTTCATCACTTTTAGTGTGTAACATGCTGCATCAGCTGACATTAACCATATGCTTGTCTAACTTACAGTGAGCGACATGTAGTGCCTTTGTGCATCAATCACTGTAGTTTACGTACATGTTGGCAGATATGTAAAGAAATACAGTTACGCAAGCTGAAAATGCTAAATTTGGTAATAACACAAAGTATTGCTATAATTTTGGTGTTTTTATAAAAATGTGATTTATATTATTTGCATGCGTGCAGTTCTACCATGACATTTGCAATCCTGTGTTCTGATTTGTCCAATCGCAGTATTGATTCAATGATAGACCATGATTTGGCTGATTACTGCATTACTGTAAAAGATAATATTTATTCAAAAATACTTCTGCAAACCTGCCTGTTTGGTATTTTCAAATACGGATCTGACCTCATTTCCATTGATAACTAATGTCTTGTGGTCCTTAAGTTACTGTATTTTCCGAAAATGTGCGCCAACACATCAACACAGCAGAAGCTTGGTGCTACTTTACCACATACTGACGTCATGTCCACCATGTTACAATGCTTGGACATCACATCTGTAGAACTGTATGAAGTCATAATAGTGGTGCTACTTTACCACATACTGACGTCATGTCCACCATGTTACAATGCTTGGACATCACATCTGTGGAACGGTATGAAGTCATAATAGTGGTGCTACTTTACCACATACTGACGTCATGTCCACCATGTTACAATGCTTGGACATCACTTCTGTGGAACTGTATGAAGTCATAATAGTGGTGCTACTTTACCACATACTGACGTCATGTCCACCATGTTACAATGCTTGGACATCACATCTGTGGAACTGTATGAAGTCATAAAAGTGGTGCTACTTAACCACATACTGATGTCATGTCCACCATGTTACAATGCTTGGACATCACATCTGTGGAACTGTATGAAGTCATAAAAGTGGTGCTACTTTACCACATACTGACGTCATGTCCACCATGTTACAATGCTTGGACATCACATCTGTGGAACTGTATGAAGTCATAATAGTGGTGCTACTTTACCACATACTGACGTCATGTCCACCATGTTACAATGCTTGGACATCACATCTGTAGAACTGTATGAAGTCATAATAGTGGTGCTACTTTACCACATACTGATGTCATGTCCACCATGTTACAATGCTTGGACATCACTTCTGTGGAACTGTATGAAGTCATAATAGTGGTGCTACTTTACCACATACTGACGTCATGTCCACCATGTTACATTGCTTGGACATCACATCTGTGGAACTGTATGAAGTCATAATAGTGGTGCTACTTTACCACATACTGACGTCATGTCCACCATGTAACAATGCTTGGACATCACATCTGTGGAACTGTATGAAGTCATAATAGTGGTGCTACTTTACCACATACTGACGTCATGTCCACCATGTTACAATGCTTGGACATCACATCTGTAGAACTGTATGAAGTCATAATAGTGGTGCTACTTTACCACATACTGACGTCATGTCCACCATGTTACAATGCTTGGACATCACTTCTGTGGAACTGTATGAAGTCATAATAGTGGTGCTACTTTACCACATACTGACGTCATGTCCACCATGTTACATTGCTTGGACATCACATCTGTGGAACTGTATGAAGTCATAATAGTGGTGCTACTTTACCACATACTGACGTCATGTCCACCATGTTACAATGCTTGGACATCACATCTGTGGAACTGTATGAAGTCATAATAGTGGTGCTACTTTACCACATACTGACGTCATGTCCACCATGTTACAATGCTTGGACATCACATCTGTGGAACTGTATGAAGTCATAAAAGTGGTGCTACTTTACCACATACTGACGTCATGTCCACCATGTTACAATGCTTGGACATCACATCTGTGGAACTGTATGAAGTCATAATAGTGGTGTTACTTTACCACATACTGACGTCATGTCCACCATGTTACATTGCTTGGACATCACATCTGTGGAACTGTATGAAGTCATAATAGTGGTGCTACTTTACCACATACTGACGTCATGTCCACCATGTTACAATGCTTGGACATCACATCTGTGGAACTGTAAGAAGTCATAATAGTGGTGCTACTTTACCACATACTGACGTCATGTCCACCATGTTACAATGCTTGGACATCACATCTGTGGAACTGTATGAAGTCATAATAGTGGTGCTACTTTACCACATACTGACGTCATGTCCACCATGTTACAATGCTTGGACATCACATCTGTGGAACTGTATGAAGTCATAATAGTGGTGCTACTTTACCACATACTGACATCATGTCCACAATGTTACAATGCTTGGACATCACATCTGTAGAACTGTATGAAGTCATAATAGTGGTGCTACTTTACCACATACTGACGTCATGTCCACCATGTTACAATGCTTGGACATCACATCTGTGGAACTATGAAGTCATAATAGTGGTGCTACTTTACCACATACTGACGTCATGTCCACCATGTTACATTGCTTGGACATCACATCTGTGGAACTGTATGAAGTCATAATAGTGGTGCTACTTTACCACATACTGACGTCATGTCCACCATGTAACAATGCTTGGACATCACATCTGTGGAACTGTATGAAGTCATAATAGTGGTGCTACTTTACCACATACTGACGTCATGTCCACCATGTTACAATGCTTGGACATCACATCTGTAGAACTGTATGAAGTCATAATAGTGGTGCTACTTTACCACATACTGACGTCATGTCCACCATGTTACAATGCTTGGACATCACTTCTGTGGAACTGTATGAAGTCATAATAGTGGTGCTACTTTACCACATACTGACGTCATGTCCACCATGTTACATTGCTTGGACATCACATCTGTGGAACTGTATGAAGTCATAATAGTGGTGCTACTTTACCACATACTGACGTCATGTCCACCATGTTACAATGCTTGGACATCACATCTGTGGAACTGTATGAAGTCATAATAGTGGTGCTACTTTACCACATACTGACGTCATGTCCACCATGTTACAATGCTTGGACATCACATCTGTGGAACTGTATGAAGTCATAAAAGTGGTGCTACTTTACCACATACTGACGTCATGTCCACCATGTTACAATGCTTGGACATCACATCTGTGGAACTGTATGAAGTCATAATAGTGGTGTTACTTTACCACATACTGACGTCATGTCCACCATGTTACATTGCTTGGACATCACATCTGTGGAACTGTATGAAGTCATAATAGTGGTGCTACTTTACCACATACTGACGTCATGTCCACCATGTTACAATGCTTGGACATCACATCTGTGGAACTGTAAGAAGTCATAATAGTGGTGCTACTTTACCACATACTGACGTCATGTCCACCATGTTACAATGCTTGGACATCACATCTGTGGAACTGTATGAAGTCATAATAGTGGTGCTACTTTACCACATACTGACGTCATGTCCACCATGTTACAATGCTTGGACATCACATCTGTGGAACTGTATGAAGTCATAATAGTGGTGCTACTTTACCACATACTGACATCATGTCCACAATGTTACAATGCTTGGACATCACATCTGTAGAACTGTATGAAGTCATAATAGTGGTGCTACTTTACCACATACTGACGTCATGTCCACCATGTTACAATGCTTGGACATCACATCTGTGGAACTATGAAGTCATAATAGTGGTGCTACTTTACCACATACTGACGTCATGTCCACCATGTTACATTGCTTGGACATCACATCTGTGGAACTGTATGAAGTCATAATAGTGGTGTACTTTACAACAAAACATTACAAAGGTTGCTTCATTTTCTCTTGTGATGTCAGTTTGAATAATGCTTACTTGACATCTGAATTTGATTTGTTTGTGTCACCGTGAATTGGTTAAAGTATTGGTGCAAATTATGGTTCGGTACATAAGCATACAAACCAATCTTCTTGAATTTGCTTTTTCAACATACTGAAAATATTAGCCTGAACTGATGCCAAATAGTTCACATTTTTTGTCATTTTGTCATTGTAAAATGAGATAAACCATCTGTGTTTCCAATTTAGAGGTTTTCATATCTGTTAATCATGATATTATAATGTTCATTTTTTTATGTAAATTACAGGTATCTGATCCACGTTTGAAACCTCTACATTGAAAACACAAAAGGTTCTTAAGTAAATAATAATTAATTGGGTATTGGTGATTTGTTTTGCATATTTTGATGAATGCATGCAATTGAGGGTCCAATGTCTCTCACACAAGATGCAAAATTTGCAAAGCATGTGTACTGTCAACTGGGTGTTGATAGATTATTTTTGTTTCATATTTATGATAAACATGCTCAAGTGTTGTACAGTCCACATGCACTGGGGGTCTGAAAGGATATAACTCGTAGTAGCCACTGCTACTGCTGCTATTGAGCCACGAAATTCCAGCCTAGTTTGGCAAGGGTGGAAACTGGACTTTTATAGTCAGTTAACTCCCTTGCCCTCATATTATTAGTTAATGTCATTTGTTAAAACAATTATTGTTGACCACTGTTGACTTTTAAGGCCAAGGTGCCCGTACTGTCTCTCAACTTGATTGTATGGCTTCTCATGTCTCTTGATGTATTTCATTATTCATATACATGAGTATTATTCTGCAGGTCAGAATACCATTAAACACATGATCAAAATACATACATTCATAGGAATATTGGTTCAGTTTACTGTTGACGAATGTATATGTTAACCAAATAATTACCATAAGAATCTAATTCCCTATCATTCCCATGAGTGTACTGATCATAAGACATGTGGGATTCATTACAGCTCATGGCAGTTCTCATGCCTTTGTTACACTAACAGCTTCTGCTAGTTCATTCTGCTGAATATAAGCAAAGTATGGAGACTCATTGTGTCTCCTTGCCAAACACACCATCTGTTATGAGATAGGTCTAACAAGTCTTTGAAACCCATTTAGAAGTGATACACATAAGGAAGAGAATTTATGGATGTCAACTTCTTTATTAAGACGAAACACAAAGTTTTGGAGGATATATGTACTCCTTCATCAGGTGAATAATCTCTATCAGGCAGAGGACATATATATGTATCTATGAGAACAACAAAAGAAATAAGATTACAAGGGAATCAAACAGACAATTAGCAGGGTAGGTGATTAGCAATGGACAAATGGAAGCCAACACTTAACAGTAAATTAGTTCTGATAGTTGATAGTGATGGACCACTGGAAGCCAGGGCATAACTGTACAGTGATCAATGGGCAAACGGGAGACCGGAGGTAATTAGCACTGAATTTTTTTTTGATTCTGTATTTCTGAAACTGACTGACATATTCAGTTTGGAAAGGCAGCAGAGACATGCACTGATTGTATATTGAATACTATAGAAATATATTTGTAACATGGCAACTTTCCAGTTTCTAATTGTATCTCAACACACTCAAGTTGCCTCTGTAGCTACTTGAAATTTCTTATTCACCAAAGGAAAAACTAGGTAGCTTAAAGACTTTAGTGAGCTATAACACAGATTTGGGGATGCTTTGGGGAATATGAAACATTCCATGGTACAATGCATTACACTTGCATAGTCAATGATTAAGCAGTAATCATTAATGTATGTTTGATTCCAGAAATCTGAGGTGTCAGATCGGTTTGTGCAAGCCCTGTCTGATGTTGTCGGAGGTTCAAATGTTTCCACTGCAATGGCAGTGAGAGAACAGCATGGGAGGGACGAGTCGTATCATGAGTGAGTGACATTCTCTAATTCTTCCAACTTCATGACCTATTACTCTGTATGATAAGGACCCCTGCTTATTATAATCAAGAGGTCACTAAAATGATGACTGGTGACCATTATGGTTGCAAACAGATTTGACAGGATTTCACAGTATTGTGATGATTTCACAGTATTGTACCATCAGATTCATTTAGTTGAGCTTCATGGTTAGGAAATTAGGCCATAGTTAAATTATTTGAAAGAATTGTCATGAAGCTGTGCGTAGATACCAAATGAGCATGTTGCTTTTGTTCACTCTTTGGTTAAGAAATGTAACAGGATGCTGCTGTAATGGTCTACCTGCACCTACCATATATCGCCGTCTATAAAGCGACCCCAAGTATAAGGCGACCCCCCTGTACAAGCCTTCAAAACATCGATGCTAATTTATATACCCTGTCTATATAGCAAATCGGAATGAAGCACATAACCAGTGCATACACAAGCCCTACATCTGCGATAAAAACGTGTTTGTCTTCTGCAGAAAAATATTGTATCCCTTCAGCGAATTCAGGGAAACGAACACATCATAACAATTAAACTTGGTCAATACAAATTAGAAATTTGAGATAAAACATCACTAGACATGATGATTTACCGATTAAATTGTATTTCCTGTTCTGATAGGCATTGTTTTATATACAGAGATTAAGATTACCGTGTGTATTGTCTCATAAACTAAGCCGGAAGCAACAATCAGCTGTGCACACGTTTCTCGGAATCTACCAGTGCTTTAGTTAAAGATTACCCAATAATATGAGTTTAAAGAATTTTAATACAATAATCGTATGAATTGTGTCTGAAATTTATCAGGAAAAATTTATTCCAATATCATGTTATTATAGTTGCCACTTCACTTTATACATCTGAAATAACTTAATAACCACAAGCCTAACAATCGCTATTGCCGGATAGTTTTTCGAATGGAACAACTTCACCAATCACCGTCCATGCTCCCACGCTTGCAATAGCGAAAACTTTGTTGACATATAATAGTCAAACTACATCAAATATATTTCAACAAGTCAATGTTCGGCATTTATGGTATATAAATCCATTCTCTATCCACTAAAGTTTGTTTCAACTTGAAATAGCAGTAATCTGACCGTGGTTGCTGTAAATAATGGTGAGTTGTGCGATCTTCCTATCACTTCACATATGATTTTGCCGAAATTAATGTTAACAATATTGAATGAAATTTTGAATAAAATTGGCATGAATAATCAGGACTAGGAACTGATGGTAACTAGCAGCTTCTGGTTGAAGCCAGAGATAGGTTGTTGTTTTCTTTGTTTGTTGCACTAAGAAATATTCAACTACGTGGCAGCAGGCTGTAAAGACAACTAGTTGAGTCTGGAACAGACAATCAAGTGATTGCTATTAGGAGCAATGATCCCTGCCATCAGGGAGCCTGAGCCTGACCAACAGATCTTCTGACTTCAGTCACCTCATGACCAGCATGGGACTAATTCTAACTTGGAACTTGTTTATCTTGTTTGTGTTTTCTAGATGCTCCCCACCAGATGTTGTTGTGTTTGCTGAGAGCACGGAGCATGTGAGCCAGATTGCCAAGCTGTGTAATGATAATGAGGTCCCGCTCATCCCCTTTGGCACAGGGACAGGCTTGGAAGGAGGGATCAATGCTTTCAGGGTAGGCGACACATTGATGTCATTGAGGGTTGGTGACACAGTGACACATCATTGAGTGTAGGCGACACATCATTGAGGGTAGGCGACACAGTGACACGTCATTGAGTGTAGGCGACACATCATTGAGGGTTAGTGACACAGTGACATGTCATTGAGGGTTGGTGACACAGTGACACATCATTGAGTGTAGGCGACACGTCATTGAGGGTTAGTGACACAGTGACATGTCATTGAGTGTAGGCGACACATCATTGAGGGTTAGTGACACAGTGACACATCATTGAGTGTAGGCGACACGTCATTGAGGGTTAGTGACACAGTGACATGTCATTGAGGGTAGGCGACACAGTGACACGTCATTGAGTGTAGGCGACACGTCATTGAGGGTTGGTGACACAGTGACACGTCATTGAGGGTTGGTGACACAGTGACACATCATTGAAGGTAGGCGACACAGTGACACGTCATTGAGTGTAGGCGACACGTCATTGAGGGTTAGTGACACAGTGACATGTCATTGAGGGTAGGCGACACAGTGACACGTCATTGAGTGTAGGCGACACGTCATTGAGGGTTAGTGACACAGTGACATGTCATTGAGGGTAGGCGACACAGTGACACGTCATTGAGTGTAGGCGACACGTCATTGAGGGTTAGTGACACAGTGACATGTCATTGAGGGTAGGCGACACAGTGACACGTCATTGAGTGTAGGCGACACGTCATTGAGGGTTAGTGACACAGTGACATGTCATTGAGGGTAGGCGACACAGGGACGCTTCATTGAGGGTAGGCGACACAGTGACACGTCATTGAAGGTTGGCGACACAGTGACACGTCATTGAAGGTTGGCGACATAGTGACATGTCATTGAGTGTAGGCGACACAGTGACACATCATTGAAGGTAGGCGACACAGTAACACGTCATTGAGGGTAGGCAACACAGTGACACGTCATTGAGGGTACAGTCAAGTCTCGTTAATCCGACACTCGTTAATCCGACACTTGGCTTTATCCGACACAAATGATGGGAACCGATTGATTCAGTGCTATTTAGTCCCGTTAATCCGACATTCTCGCACTCCGACTCCGACACACCTAATTTGCAACAAATTACCGAAATCACTCATTAATCAGTCTCGTTAATCCGACACAGTGATCAGCGTACTCCGTGGTCATCTGCCCGCGAGTACACAGCCAGAGTTTGACACGCACTGGCTGCAGAGATTAACTTAACAATTAACAGGAAAAGCTATTCAAACCTGTATGTACAAAGCTATACAAATGTAGTTTACAAATTGCAGCCAGATTAATGTGCATGAAGCCAGTTTTAAATACGAACAGGTATATAAAACATGGTCGACTCACCATGGTTGACTGGTATGTAAACAAGAAAGCATGGATGACTTCATTAATATTCAAAGCCTGGCTACTGATCTTGGATTGGCAAATGCGATTGGAGCAATGCCAAATGGTATTGCTGTTGGACAACGCCCCATCCAATGCTACTGTCGACATAACTAATGTGAAATGTCACTTTTTGCCACCAAACACCACATCGCACATTCAGCCACTAGATGCCGGGATCATAAAGAATTTCAAGCTTTATTATAAGAAACAGCAAATGAAATTACACCTCGCAACCTCAAGCCCTAGACGTCAAGCGAGCAGGGGACTTTGAGAAATGTGCCTTCAAAATGTTAGAAACAGAAAACACTGACAGACTATTTTAAGTAGATGAAGCAAGTTGTTAAGACAGTAGCACTTGCATTTACACGAGGAAACGTGTGTCATGGATGTGATAAATTCAGTGAGTAATTTCTCTATTGTTATGTATAAATGGGAAAATTATTATTATTTTTGCACTGTCATTAATTATGAATTAAGGAATGAATGAATAAACAACATAACAATATTAATATTTCGTTTTTAATGATTTTATTACAAGGTACACACGGTTATTATCTATCGTGAAGACGTCCGATTTTCGATCACAAATCAATTAATTTCGTTAATCCGACATACTCGTTAATCCGACACAATCATTTGCAATCAACGATGTCGGATTAATGAGACTTGACTGTAGTTGACACAGTGAAAAGTCATTTAGGGTAGGCGACACAGTGACATGTCATTGAAGGTTGGTGAACCATTGACACGTCACGGAGGGATGGCTACAAAGTGTGATTGAGAGTCGGCTGGACAGGGATACTTCATTGAGGATGGGTTAGACAGGGATACTTCATTGGAGATGGGTTAGAAACATATTTTCTTCATTGAGGATTGTAGACAGGGATACTTCATTGAGGATTGTAGACAGGGATACTTCATTGGAGATGGGTTAGACAGGGATACTTCATTGGAGATGGGTTAGACAGGGATACTTCATTGGAGATGGGTTAGACAGGGATACTTCTTTGAGGATGGGTTAGACAGGGATGCTTCTTTGACGATGACCTTTTGAATACAGCCATGTAATAGCTTTAATGTTGAGTCAATGTATCCCTCTTTGAGGCAAATACTTGGCTCTATTTGCATTCCATTTCCTAACATTACGCTGTCAAATATGCATGAAACTGGAGGTGATAGGAAGATCCTAATATATATTTATGATTTCAGGGTGGCGTGACTCTGGATCTGAGTAAGATGGATAAGATACTGTCAGTGCATCAGGAGGACTTTGATGCAGAAGTAGAGGCAGGGGTGTCACGTCAAGGGTTAAACGCCTACCTTCGTGACACAGGATTGATGTTCCCAATTGGTACGATACAGAAAATATATCACGTTCGATTCAGTTATATCATGTACGGTACCCATTTTGACCTAGGGACCTGAATAAGATTACTTTGAATACCCATCTTGCATTAACAGTAGCCACATATAATGCCATGCAGAATAGGTGTTGGAATCCCATGCTTGTTGCCAAAGCTGACATAGAAAGAGTTGGGTGGTTACTATGTGCGAAGTGTCTGATTAGATGTCATTACATGGATTGTTGCTCATCCACCATGGGTTTGTCTGGTCCAGACTTAATGATTTCTGTCTGGTCTTGATGTATCGCTGCCATTATGCTGTTTCAGTGTGTTTTGTATTCTGTGACTTAATCAATGTTTATCATGTTTGTAGACACAACCTTTGTTTATCTTCTGTCGAACATGCAGATCCGGGAGCAGACGCCTCTCTGTGTGGAATGTGTGCCACCAGTGCGTCAGGCACCAATGCAGTGAGGTACGGGACGATGAGGGAGAACGTCCTCAACATGGAGGTCGTGATGGCAGACGGCAGAGTTATAAACACAGCTGGGAAGGGCAGACGTACAAAGTGAGATTACTGACTGAAATGTGTACCCATATTTCATCTAATCACATAATCAGTACCACAGAACCCAGTATTTGTCTCTTGCACCTCCTTGTGTGATGAGGAAAGAATCCTGAACTAAAACACCACACAAACATACGAAACATTGGTCATACTTGTAGATACCACACAAACATACGAAACATTGGTCATACTTGTAGATACCACACAAACATACGAAACATTGGTCATACTTGTAGATACCACACACACATACGAAACATTGGTCATACTTGTAGATACCACACAAACATATGGAGCATTGGTTAAACTTGTAGATACCACACAAACATATGAAACATTGGTCATACTTGTAGATACCACACAAACATACGAAACATTGATCATACTTGTAGATACCACACAAACATACAAAACATTGATCATACTTGTAGATACCACACAAACATATGAAACATTGGTCATACTTGTAGATACCACACAAACATATGAAACATTGGTCATACTTGTAGATACCACACAAACATATGAAACATTGGTCATACTTGTAGATACCACACAAACATATGAAACATTGGTTAAACTTGTAGATACCACACAAACATATGGAGCATTGGTCATACTTGTAGATACCACACAAACATATGAAACATTGGTCATACTTGTAGATACCACACAGACATATGAAACATTGGTTAAACTTGTAGATACCACACAAACATATGAAACATTGGTCATACTTGTAGATACCACACAAACATATGAAACATTGGTCATACTTGTAGATACCACACAAACATATGAAACATTGGTTAAACTTGTAGATACCACACAAACATATGAAACATTGGTTAAACTTGTAGATACCACACAAACATATGGAGCATTGGTTAAACTTGTAGATACCACACAAACATATGGAGCATTGGTTAAACTTGTAGATACCACACAAACATATGGAGCATTGGTTAAACTTGTAGATACCACACAAACATATGAAACATTGGTTAAACTTGTAGATACCACACAAACATATGGAGCATTGGTTAAACTTGTAGATACCACACAAACATATGGAGCATTGGTTAAACTTGTAGATACCACACAAACATATGGAACATTGGTTAAACTTGTAGATACCACACAAACATATGAAACATTGGTTAAACTTGTAGATACCACACAAACATATGGAGCATTGGTTAAACTTGTAGATACCACACAAACATATGAAACATTGGTTAAACTTGTAGATACCACACAAACATATGGAGAATTTGTTAAACTTGTAGATACCACACAAACATATGGAGCATTGGTTAAACTTGTAGATACCACACAAACATATGGAGCATTGGTTAAACTTGTAGATACCACACAAACATATGAAACATTGGTTAAACTTGTAGATACCACACAAACATATGGAGCATTGGTTAAACTTGTGGATACCACACAAACATATGAAACATTGGTTAAACTTGTAGATACCACACAAACATATGAAACATTGGTTAAACTTGTAGATACCACACAAACATATGGAGCATTGGTTAAACTTGTAGATACCACACAAACATATGAAACATTGGTTAAACTTGTAGATACCACACAAACATATGGAGCATTTGTTAAACTTGTAGATACCACACAAACATATGGACCATTGCTTAAACTTGTAGATACCACACAAACATATGGAGCATTGATTAAACTTGTAGATACCACACAAACATATGAAACATTGGTTAAACTTGTAGATACCACACAAACATATGGAGCATTGGTTAAACTTGTAGATACCACACAAACATATGAAACATTGGTTAAACTTGCAGATACCACACAAACATATGAAACATTGGTTAAACTTGTAGATACCACACAAACATATGAAACATTGGTTAAACTTGTAGATACCACACAAACATATGAAACATTGGTTAAACTTGTAGATACCACACAAACATATGGAGCATTGGTTAAAGTTGTAGATACCACACAAACATATGACACATTGGTTAAACTTGTAGATACCACACAAACATATGGAACATTGGTTAAACTTGTAGATACCACACAGACATATGGAACATTGGTTAAACTTGTAGATACCACACAAACATATGGAGCATTGGTTAAACTTGTAGATACCACACAAACATATGGAGCATTGATTAAACTTGTAGATACCACACAAACATATGAAACATTGGTTAAACTTGTAGATACCACACAAACATATGGAGCATTGGTTAAACTTGTAGATACCACACAAACATATGAAACATTGGTTAAACTTGCAGATACCACACAAACATATGAAACATTGGTTAAACTTGTAGATACCACACAAACATATGAAACATTGGTTAAACTTGTAGATACCACACAAACATATGAAACATTGGTTAAACTTGTAGATACCACACAAACATATGGAGCATTGGTTAAAGTTGTAGATACCACACAAACATATGACACATTGGTTAAACTTGTAGATCCCACACAAACATATGGAACATTGGTTAAACTTGTAGATACCACACAGACATATGGAACATTGGTTAAACTTGTAGATACCACACAAACATATGGAGCATTGGTTAAACTTGTAGATACCACACAAACATATGAAACATTGGTCATACTTGTAGATACCACACAAACATATGAAACATTGGTTAAACTTGTAGATACCACACAAACATATGGAGCATTGGTTAAACTTGTAGATACCACACAGACATATGAAACATTGGTTAAACTTGTAGATACCACACGAACATATGGAGCATTTGTTAAACTTGTAGATACCACACAAATATATGGAGCATTGGTTAAACTTGTAGATACCACACAAACATATGAAACATTGGTTAAACTTGTAGATACCACACAAACATATGGAGCATTTGTTAAACTTGTAGATACCACACAAACATATGAAACATTGGTCATACTTGTAGATACCACACAAACATATGAAACATTGGTTAAACTTGTAGATACCACACAAACATATGAAACATTGGTTAAACTTGTAGATACCACACAAACATATGGAACATTGGTTAAACTTGTAGATACCACACAAACATATGGAGAATTGGTTAAACTTGTAGATACCACACAAACATATGAAACATTGGTTAAACTTGTAGATACCACACAAACATATGGAGCATTGGTTAAACTTGTAGATACCACACAAACATACGAAACATTGGTTAAACTTGTAGATACCACACAAACATATGGAGCATTTGTTAAACTTGTAGATACCACACAAACATATGAAACATTGGTCATACTTGTAGATACCACACAAACAAATGGAGCATTGGTTAAACTTGTAGATACCACACAAACATATGGAGCATTGGTTAAACTTGTAGATACCACACAAACATATGGAACATTGGTTAAACTTGTAGATACCACACAAATATATGAAACATTGGTTAAACTTGTAGATACCACACAAACATATGGAGCATTGGTTAAACTTGTAGATACCACACAAACATATGAAACATTGGTTAAACTTGTAGATACCACACAAACATATGGAGCATTTGTTAAACTTGTAGATACCACACAAACATATGGAGCATTGGTTAAACTTGTAGATACCACACAAACATATGGAGCATTGGTTAAACTTGTAGATACCACAGAAACATATGAAACATTGGTTAAACTTGTAGATACCACACAAACATATGGAGCATTGGTTAAACTTGTGGATACCACACAAACATATGAAACATTGGTTAAACTTGTAGATACCACACAAACATATGAAACATTGGTTAAACTTGTAGATACCACACAAACATATGGAGCATTGGTTAAACTTGTAGATATCACACAAACATATGAAACATTGGTTAAACTTGTAGATACCACACAAACATATGAAACATTGGTTAAACTTGTAGATACCACACAAACATATGAAACATTGGTTAAACTTGTAGATACCACACAAACATATGGAGCATTGGTTAAACTTGTAGATACCACACAGACATATGGAACATTGGTTAAACTTGTAGATACCACACAAACATATGGAGCATTGGTTAAACTTGTAGATACCACACAAACATATGAAACATTGGTTAAACTTGTAGATACCACACAAACTTATGGAGCATTTGTTAAACTTGTAGATACCACACAAACATATGGAGCATTGGTTAAACTTGTAGATACCACACAAACATATGAAACATTGATTAAACTTGTAGATACCACACAAACATATGGAGCATTGGTTAAACTTGTAGATACCACACAAACATATGAAACATTGGTCATACTTGTAGATACCACACAAACATATGAAACATTGGTTAAACTTGTAGATACCACACAAACATATGGAGCATTGGTTAAACTTGTAGATACCACACAGACATATGAAACATTGGTTAAACTTGTAGATACCACACAAACATATGGAGCATTTGTTAAACTTGTAGATACCACACAAACATATGGAGCATTGGTTAAACTTGTAGATACCACACAAACATATGAAACATTGGTTAAACTTGTAGATACCACACAAACATATGGAGCATTTGTTAAACTTGTAGATACCACACAAACATATGAAACATTGGTCATACTTGTAGATACCACACAAACATATGAAACATTGGTTAAACTTGTAGATACCACACAAACATATGAAACATTGGTTAAACTTGTAGATACCACACAAACATATGAAACATTGGTTAAACTTGTGGATACCACACAAACATATGGAGCATTGGTTAAACTTGTAGATACCACACAAACATACGAAACATTGGTTAAACTTGTAGATACCACACAAACATATGGAGCATTGGTTAAACTTGTAGATACCACACAAACATACGAAACATTGGTTAAACTTGTAGCTACCACACAAACATATGGAGCATTTGTTAAACTTGTAGATACCACACAAACATATGAAACATTGGTTAAACTTGTAGATACCA